TGTCCTGTTTTTGTCACTATATAGACCAGGTAAAAAAATAAAACATAAGGATTTAAAAAAATTTATGGCAAATAGGAGAAAGAGAACACAACAGTGAAAAGAGAATTTGTCATTACTATCGGACAATTGTGAAGCACATGCATATAAAATGTCAATAAATATAAAAATATTAGTCTTATGAACCATTTTTTATAATTATCAATGATAAATGTCAGAGCTAAAACTAGTCTACAACTTTTGTACTCACGAAAAATTTTTTTACACGTAGTAATATCTAAGCCTTAATTTTGAGTATATCGAACCCTACCTACAAGAGACTAGTTATAAAAAGAAATCAAAACAACGATGTAACTAGACATGGATGGAGAAAAACAATTATAAGAACACTAGACATTATCTGACTTATTGCCGCCGCATAAATGATTCAACTTTATCGCCGTCAAAACATCAAATATTTCTCAATCTTCCGAAATTTGAAATGTAAACATAAGTTAGTTGTCGAATTCAAATATTTTGCATAAACTCACATATTCATTGATCAATAACGGCTTTATCACTATCTAAGATAGTTTCTAATTCAGTTTTATCTACTATCTATTAAAAAAATGCGTGCGAGTGACCATTTTTTGAATAACTCGAGAACGATAAGAGATAGAGACCTGCGGTTCTCACTATTGGAAAGAGGAGACCTGGGGGTATCTGATCATGTAAAATCTAATCAAATTAAAAGGTTTTCCAGAAGCATTCTGAAAAACCAACCTGTCAATATGGGGTCCAAAAATAGATTTTCATGTTTCTGCAATGGATTTGACAGACCAGACTGTCCTCTACAAAATCACGCAGGTCGAGGTAGCTAACTTGTTCCATTCAGGAGTTATAAGCATTTCATCGAGAGCCCCGATTTCGGCCAGTTGACCTTGGATCATCCTAAAATGGGTCAAGATAGGGGTAAACGGCCACGCTTCTATCATTTATTCGAAATATCTGCCCTATACGCAACATAGCGGCAGAATACTGGAATTTGAAAACCTTGATATAGTGGCTTTAGATCGGTTTGAAACTAAAAATAAACAGCACCGGCTCAGCGTGGCCGATTACCCCTATTTTGACCCATTTTAGGGTTGTCCAAGGTCAACTGGCCGAAATCGGGACTCGGTGAAATGCTTATAGCTCCTGAATGGAACAAGCTAGCTACATCGACCTTGCATGATCAGTCTGGCCTGTCAAATCCATTGCAGAAATCTCCTCTTTCCAACAGTGAGAACTGCATATCTCTTATCGTTCTCGAGTTATTCAAAAAATGTTCACACGCACGGATCTTTTTAATGGAAAGTAGTCTGTAGTGAGTGATATGGTACGATGAATTAATTAAGCTGACCGAGTGAACTAGGAGCGGCTTATTCTATTTCACTACAAAAAATTCTTCTTTAAGTCGACTGAGTGAAACTCAAGGAGACTTATTCTGTTTCAGCAGAAAAAATTCTTCTTCTTTCTACCTGTTTTTCAGACACTTGTTCTCGGTCATCTCTGATCGTATAGATTTGTATCGGGAAAAGATGATTCGAAAGTATAGAGGTCGTAGATGACGCATATGAAGTTAGTTTTCGAATATTTGCTTTACTTATCCTATAATTAGTGTCACAAAATGAGTATACTTTTTAGAAAATTCTATCGTTTTTCCTATGAGATAATTAATCGTCACGGGATTCATTTCATACTGAATATATACTATAGAGCTTGATATGATGAAAGTTACAGTAACACGATAATGAATCAACTGTTATGTCAGTGTGAATAACATGATGTAGAAGATACACAGACAGTTATGACTTTCTGAATGTTCTGATTTCGTCTGTTTACTGTTCCACTCAGTCGATTTTTTCCCAATCTTCCCTCAGAGTAGTTGGCATCTAGTTCTTTCTTCTAGACCGTACTTTCTGCTTCGAGTCAGTCACTCGTTCTCAGCTATTACTAATCGCACAGCTTTGAGAAAAATATCATTCGGAAGTGCAAGAGAGCAGGTATGGACGAATCCGAGCCAAGTCCATTTCGAGTCCGGTAATCTTTTAGATTCTTTTCTGATGAGAGTGGTTTATTTCTCTTTTTTAATTTACTGAGCCCTGGATAGATATTTAGTTTTCGAAAGTACGGTTACTTCGCATGTCCGTCTCTCCAACAAACTTTTCAATTTCTTGTGAAACACAGGGTATTGTTATTTCGCTTTTCATTTTTCTCCGTTCATTTGTGTTAAAAGTTGAATAGATCGGACTCGAAATACAAAAACTCAAGTTCGAGTCCGAGTCCTTCAAAAAATCTTCCAGTCCGGATTCGAGTCCGGGCTCGGACTTGCCCATCCTGCGAAAGAGGTAGATGAAACAGCTAAAGTTATTTTTTCGATATATGTTTTAATTATTAAGTAATGAGTCTCAAAAGTTGAGTATTTTTTTAAATACCTTTTCTATGGGATAATTAATTGTTAAGAGTGATTCATTAAGTAGTCACGTGCTACTTATCAGTCTACACTTCTGTATAGTTTGATACATTTATAGTCTGAAACATTATTACCGACAGAATGCATCATATATTTACTACTAGAGCACTGCAGTGCTCTAATCGTATTTAAGGGATTCAAGCGGTATCTAAAGTGTCTCTACGATACGTTTCACTCTGTCGGTTTTCCAATTTGCCCGTAGGGTAGTTGGCATCTAATATTTTTTATGTCCTTGAACATTAAAAATTTCATTTTTCATTGCCATTATCGATCGCTGCTAGAAGGTCTAACCGATATTTTTCTAACAGAGTATCTAACGGTTTAACGGCAACTGATATTAGTAGAATTTGTTGAAAGCGTTGCTGGTACTCTGGAATAGAGCCCTGCAAGGTTACGACTCAATCTAACCTATAAAAATCTTCACAACCTAAACCTAAACCTAACCTATTAATGTTTTTAGTAACCCAACGTAAAACAATAGTGTAACCTAATTAATCTATGCAAATTTTTCCCAAAATCTGGTTTCAAAAGCCTAAATTTCAGCTTTGTTCCAGATCGTTATTGTTTCTTATCTAAATAACGTCTGATAGAAAAGCTTGTACAAAATAGTGCTCAAAAGTTTAACAACATTATTTTAAGTAATTAATTTTTTTCTCAGTCAAACAATGTCAGTAAGCCGAAAAAACTTCAGAACATATACTTCGAAGTGTCCTCTACAAACTGGAAAAATTTAACAAAAAAATCTAAGTGAAAATATTTTCACAACATCTTGAACCAAATTTCGCTCGAAGGAAGCATTTTCAAGAAAACGTGTGGGTACGAAATTTTGAAAAAATCCTTTGTTCATATTCCAGAGAATCTGATTCTGAACAACTTTCGTACCCACACGTTTTCTTGAAAATGCTTCCTTCGAGCGAAATTTGGTTCAAGGTATTTTTAAAAAAACTTCTTGTTCCAAAATGCCATCGGGCAGGTCAAAGTGGAATAACTCAGTCAAAACTTGACTGAAAGCTTGACCGAATTTTTTGTAGATACATCCTGATGTCCTCTATCGATTGACATCAAAATCGAGGCACTATGTAGAAATCTGAAAATGCTATTAAAATTTTAAAACTCGAGCAAAAACCGAGACTAAACTTAAAAAATTATTTTCTCGAAAACTACAGGTCCGGTATCCGAAAAAAGCTTTGAAATATATACTTTAAAGTGTCCTCTACAAACCGATAGGAAAAATCGAGTGGCAATCTGAGTAAAAAATAGTTCAGTTCAAACTAGAGAACCTCAGTCTGAACTGTATCGATTGAGCGATAAAGTTCCACTTAAATGGTTTCAGAATTACATCCGTTCGACTAGTATAAGTAAATATTGATGCGATTAGTACTAAGTGAGAAAGTTTCAGCTCGTGCCAAGAGAAGGATATCTGATATTGCTCATGGCAGTTATTTGATCCAATAAGACTACGGTTTATTATTCAAAGTATTGGCGATTTTAATGTAGTCGTTCAAAATCGTTTTGTTCTCGTTTAGGTTAAAAATAGGTTATCAATACCGTAACCTACAACCGAACGTATAAAAATTTCATAACCTAAACCTATAAAATCGTTTAGTATAGTAACGAATAGTAGTAGTTGGTAATAGTTTTTAAAAAACGGTAATAACATTGTTCTTTAGTCTAACTAGTGATTATTTTTAACAATCATTTTATCTGTTGAAGACAAATACGATCATTTATAGCAGACGATATTGCGTATTATGTAATATCTCTCTGAACATTAAATCTTGTTGTGATAAAGGATTACCTCTTTCCACTAGTTGTTCAATTGATTGTTCGTCATTTGAATCACTCCTTATATATTCACACCTATATAATCATAGTACCAACGGCCTCTTTTATTCGATCAAAATAGAACACCAACAAGATATTAGTGTAGATACTCACAAAATTAAGAACATATTCGTCAGATCAGAGGATGAAACTTTATCGAATGAGACATTTCAAATATTTTAGACAAAACGTTTCTGATGAAATTTTTCATTTCCGATCACTTTTTCAAAAAAAATCTTCCCTTAGAATTGGTAGTTTCCACTAAAATGAACTTTGCAAATCAGGTTTAACATAGAACATTCTAAAAGTCAATACTTCGAGGAAAACGAATTTGATATTCGTCCTTTTGTGGAGGAAAAGAGCGACTTTCTGGTCGAGTCAAACTATTTCTCAGAATCTGAATCAAAAGATTCAGAACTGAGATGAGCCCACGTCACGATTGCCAACATATTCCCCACTCATGAAAACTTCTTTTCGACTTCAAGCGTATCGCACACATATTTATCTCTTTAAAAAGAAACAGAATGTCGTTTATTCAATCATTTTTATTGATTGAAACTTACAAAAAACCGAGAAACGGAAAACAACTGCTTAAAAAAGCTCTATTGCATGTAAACCAAAATTTGACTAGATTCTCTTAGTTAGTTTAATTTATTTAACGAGGATTATAATGTTGATGATTCTCTTATTGCTGTCGTTGTCTTGGCTGCCAACTTTTCAACAACGTATTAGCCAAATATAAACTGTACGAGTGTACTTGTACAGCAATAGCTAAAAATATGTACCACAACACGAGTAATGGAAATCCCAAAAACATTTGTTGTTCATGTTGCTGTTTGCTTTTTAATTTTGAATATGTGAATAAACCAGTCAGATTAATAATTATCGTTGACAAAATTGTTCCTAGACCAAATATAATTGTACCACGAAAAAATACATTTAACAGTAACAAATTATTTCGTGATAATGAACATAATCCGCATATAGAAGCAAATAGACTAATTAGCCATAGATACTCCCAGAGATGTGGTCTGGGCGCAGATGTGGGAAAAAACGAGCGACTATGATAAAATAATATTTGAATAACAACAATGAGAGCGAGAAGAAAATGAAGATAGATTAATAATCGTAGACGATATTTAATTTTCGTGCTAACTCGATAATGACTGGCAATACGCTCACGATGAATAAAATCGCTACCATCGGTGCCCGCTACACGACTTGAATTTGGATTCATCGTCAGTTCATTTTTTTTTGTCTGTAAAAACAGAAACTATTAAAAACAATTAATCACGGACAAACAAACGAAAAGAGCTGCTCAAACTATGGTTTGAGTGTGCTGAAGTATCGATTATGTCTGATAAAAATGAGAGCCACACTCTGTTGTACTATAAAATGTTCAAGTTACAGTCTCACTATAAAAAATATCACGAAATTGGTGGTACATCAATTTCTGATACTCCACTCTTGCAACAGATATAATTCTAACATAGTGACAAAGTTGTACAGAATATTTTACTTCGTCTTTGTTTGATCATCACTTATCATGAAAATACAATGACAAATCGAATAAACACAACAACAACAACAATAGCACGCGTGTGCATTGTGTTCGTTGACTTTTGTATCACAGGCGTTAAATCATGCGATAAGACAATAAAAACGTAGTACATACACGTTGAAAGTAAATATGAACAAGAATGACATTCTAGAGTTAAACATATGATTTACCGATACACAACAATCACAACCATGTTTTCACTTTACATAAAAGACGTTGGTTATGAACAGAGAAACAAGAGAAAAATACTTTCAAGAAAGTGTTCTCTATCTTTAGAAACATTCTCATAATGTATAATTTCATTTTTCATCCGTCGTCTTGTCGCGCACAACAACAAAGGTTTGGGATGCATACTCTGCGAGATTAGTTATAATAGGTGCTAAAGCGTATGTCTTTCTGGATAGATTATTAGACTCCAGCTTTTATTCTTTCGATTGATGTTATATTTTTTTGAATATCAGATGTTTTGCATCAAATGATATCGAAGATATGAACGGCGACACTGGAGTTAAATACCATTTTTTCCCAAGTGTATATTCAACATTTTTGTACTCATACTATAAACTTTAATAGATTCATACGATATTTGACGGTTAGAAATTAATAAAGGCTAATGGAAATATGCATGCTGAAATAAGAATAGTCTTTTATCATTCCGTTTATTATTCACAATGATGAAGCTTACCGATTATAACTTTATAAGAAAATTTGCCTATCAAATCGTATCTAGTCAAAATGCAACGCACTGCTATAATCAAGACCAAACTGGAAATTAAAAAAAAGATGAGAAATTACCAACTATCATGTTAAAAGAACATTAGGCAGAGATCTTTCTGAGATTGAGGTACGAATGCAATTTTTGAATAAAAAAGCTTGCAACTGTATACGAACCCAAGATCAAAATAAAAAACAAACATAATATCTAATATTCTATAATCTAGACATCTCTCCAAAATGAACAACGATGACATTTACCCCACATGAATGACAATAATGCTAGTAATGATGATTTATTACACCGTTATTATTAGATCCAGCATTACGTCGCGATAACAGTGCAGGATAAATAATTGTATCATATCATACATAGTATCATATTATCTAATAAATTGTAAATGAACAAACGTCTTTTTACGTAAATATATTATTATAAATTGATGGTAAAATAACAAACATTTAAATGTAACATAGACACAGATTAAAAATAGAACAAAAAATACAGGCAATAATTCTCCACGATTACGTGGAATTAATAGTCGAATTTTACCACTAATGATATTTCATTTTTGTCAAACAATCAATAGACATCTTTGTCGTGCTAATTATGTGAAAATATTTGATCTAGAATCATCATATTCAATATATCAATTCTTTTAGAAAGAAACAAGTACTTTTTTTTCCTAGCAGAACGTTGGTGCGAAGATTGATTGTCTATACTTTTTCTCTACACTGCTAAACAAATGAGAACTATCGTAGTCAAACCATTCAACATTTTGTTCTGATTAAAATTCAGCTCAAAATTTTGTATACAAGATTTAATTGCAGTTCATTTATAAAGAAAAGAAACTTTCAGAATTGAATGTTAAAAAAAGCGCTTCTTCAACTATACAGTTCAAGAAATATGTAAGAATGTTTAAGGGCGGGGAAGCGAACTTTATCATCAGTCAACAAAATGAGAAGATCAATGTGTGAGTTCTGGTTGATTTCGATTTTTTCTGTATGAAAATGGAATCGAACTTAATTGATAACTCGCAGTTTTGATCCGGTGTTTTGATCGCAAAACACAAAAAGTAAAACAATTATTCATTTCCACTTAGTTTCCTTCTTTTTTTTCAAACAAAAAAAAAAACAAAGCAAAGTACAGACGGACAAACAACAAAAAAAAATGTGTTCTAGTTTTTCTTTTTTTTCCGTCTCTGTGTCATCTTGATTTTCTTTATACACATGAAATACACATATAAAATAGAGACGAAAAAAAGCGAGAAACATTAGATATAACAGACAATAATCGCGATATAGATGCTGTGAATGAAGTAGGATAGACAATGGGAACAGGGTAAACCAAGGACTAATATAAAAAAGGAAAAAATATACGTCAATTTAAATCTGTTGTTAACGTTTTTATCATAGGAAAATCAAACAAGCAAAAACTGAATCTAAAAATGTTTGTTTCTTCTTTTATTTAAATCAAACTGTTGGACAATAATCTTGAGCATTTGGATCGAGATTTGAATTTTTTGGCGCTTGCAAAGTTGGAGGTGGTGATTTTGAAACAGCATAATAGGCTGATGTTGACGTTGGTATAATCATTTGATTGTTATTGCCATCTAAATGATTTGTTGGCGATGAACATCCAGAATTTTGCCGAATCCCATGGTTGTGACCATTGACCATTGTACCAGATAAATGTGAGTGCAATTGTTGTATTTCAAGATCTTTATCTCGTAGATTATCTAAAAAGAAAACAAAAACATTAAAAGAGTTGATCAAAAAAATACGCTCATCACTACGTCATCAATGTATAACAAAGATGAAAAAGAAGCGCTAAAGAATTTATTCTTTTTTTCTATCACTGACTGTACCTGATTATTCATCAGGGAACAAATAAAAGGGATAATTTAATTCTGGTTTGTACATACTATGTGCAATTTCTAATTGCCGTTTAACTTCTCCAAGTGCCGAAAATAAATCTAATTTAATTCTTGTTTCAGCACTTAAACTATCTTGTAGATGAGCATTTCTGTCTTGCAACTGAGTTAAATGTTGATATAATACTTCAGTATCGGCATGAGATTCACGATATTTCATTAATGTCTGAAAACGATAAAAAAATAAAACGTGATTAAAGAGATACATATATATTCAAATCTTCTATTATATTTACTTTGATTTCATTGTCTAGTATTTTAATTTTATCATCTCTGTCTTGAAGTAATTTACGTAATTCTCTTGTTTCGTTCTCTTGATCACGTTTTCGTTTTAAACATTGATCCGAACATTCATTTCTAGAAGAAAATAAAAATAGTAAACTAAGATTTAAAATTAGAGAATGTTTTCCATTACTCTACCTTGCCGGTACAAGTGCTAGTTTGGCCATATCGTCTTGTAATTTTTTTGCTGTACTTTTTTCATTTTTGATTTGTAATTCTAAACGTTGTTTAGTTTGGCGTTCTTCAGCAAAATTACGTTCTAAATCGGTGATACGTTGTTTGTCACGTTGACGTTGTGTTGTGAGAGTTTCGTATCTAGAAAAAACAAATTCAATTATTTACGCAGACAATAAAATAGCCACTATCGCTGTATACTTTGTTTGTAATGTTGTATGTTCAGTTTTTAGATCATCAAAATTTTTATTATTTATTTTTGAATCATTCAGTTGAGCACGTAATTGTAAATCTGATGCTTTTTGTTTTTCTAATGATTGATTTAGCCTTTGTATATCTGATTCCAGTTTTGTAATTTGAGCGCTATAAAAAATACAAAATATTAATAAACATCAGTTTTACTTAGAGAGGTAAGTAAGCCACCTTTTATCCATGTCCAAAGAATCTGATGTTGCAAAACCATTTATATGAGTAGATAAATCATGAGTCGATTGATTTTTTTGTTGTCGTCGATTATTTACAGTAGAATTTGAAGTTATAACAGATGTTGTGTTTTGACCATTAAATCTTTCTTTCTTTCTATTTGTTGCTGTTGTTGTTGATGGCCCATTTGTGAGACTAGATAATGAGGGTGCACTGTTCAAATGAGATGACTTTTGTTGTTTATAAGAGTCAGCAATTTCTTCATCAACATGTCCATTTGTATGACTGTAGGAGTAAGAAGATTTCGAAGAACGTTGTAACTGTACAGAAGAATTATTCGTCGAAATGAGATTATTATAAGAAGAATCATCAGGTGCCGTCGGCACTGCCGTTGTTTTAGAGCGCTTTGGTATTGTACAAGAAGAAGGAATCTGAGTCGAATTTGATTGTAATAAAGAAGATAAAAATGAATTTGAATTAAGATTATTATTGTTGTTATGAATTGAAGTCGAAGAAAATGTCGTTGTCGATGAAGATGAAGGTAATGTGGTAGATGAAGAAAATAATATTGAATGGATATCATTGTTACTACTACTAGTAGTAGTATTGTTACTTCCGCCTCTGTCTCGAAGTGGAGCAACATAACGGTCTGGTTCTAATAATGACTGCTGAATAGCATTTGTGTTTGAATGATTCGATGTACATTCATCATAATGTTCGGGGAATGGGCCTAGACGAAACAGATAGAACAAATATAACTTCATGAGACGACTGAATAGAATCACTACCGACCTTTTAATTTTTCTTTTTCTGCTTCTTGCTGAGATTGCTGTACCTCAGTGGGTAATGCTTGATATAATAACTGTGCATAAGATTCGTTTGTTTTACGAACGTCACGTTGCGTTCTCTACAATGAAACAAATAGAATGCGTGATTATATTTATCAGAAAAGATAGAATATTGTAGTGTATACCAAACGCCATTTGTATGCAAGATAAGTTTTAAAACCAAAGCCTAATGTGACCATGGGATATCCAATACTAAAATAGTGACCAGATATTCAAAGTTCTCCCAATCAATTTTAGCGCTTACGTACCAATGCGCTGCAAACGGTCTACATAAATCTATTGTTTTTATTTCTCTTAATCGTACAGATGCCTCGAGCCAAACAAAAAGGACCCATAGAACAACAGTACCTAGACATATGCCACGTTCTAAAAAACAAAAGTACATAAAGAAACACCAAACATTAAAAGTTCAAATTGTTGCGAACATTAGCTTGACGCTCTGTCTATGACCCCAAAGACAGAAGAAAAAAAAACAAGCAAAAAGTATATGGACATAATTGCGCGCATAAACATAGAAACCATAAATGAAAATCAAAATAATAATGGCTGCAGTTTTTCCCACAAACAATTTAGTCTGCTTATCTTTTTTTCGTATCAGCACATACTTGTGTGTTTCACTCTAAAAGTGCAAAAGTATTGTGTCTTAAACAGAAAAAAGAACATGGCACCAAACCCTTTACAAAAAACGTTACGCTGATCGATTGGCATTATTACTAGCGCCTGTGAGACAGGATGTCAAATCAAATTGTTGTGTTTCACTGTTATTATAGGCTCAATAACACATATACTATAGTATAAAAGCGAGCAAAAAAACGCTCGTTATAATAACCAACTAATAAATTAGTAGAAAGTTAAAAAAGACGATAAAACTTGAGAGTACAATTGAATACAAGAGGTTCGCATATTTAAGTATGTTGGTTGTGACTAATCTGAATAATAAAAGAATAATGCGATCAACCGAAAAATGACGTGTAATTGCTACAAAATTATCTGTACACCATAACTTTCTGAGAAACACAATATACTGCACATACAGCATAATACATTATGGCATTCTCTAACATTTTTTTAACATAAATAAGAGTTATTTCATTAACATCTCTTACCGGTTTGCCAGACGTACTGAATCCATACGTAACTGCTTGCAGCAAAAAATAACCATTGAATTGGTAGTAAAATATAACATATAAGATCGGCAACAAATGCAATTAATACAAAAAATATTGAGAATAACAACTGAAAATGCAAATAAAAAAAGTACATCCCTAAGTTATGGATGATATGCAAAGGATTAAAACAATATTTCTTACCCCTTGATATTTAAACGAATCGTAGATACTTCTTAATACAAGCCAGAATGGCCACAAAAATTCAAATCGAAATTCAAGCATAAAATCAGCTGCCATAATAATTCCCCATATGCAAATGAATTTTAGATACATTAGAGCACTAAAAAGACATAAAGCAAAATGGTAACAGAAATTGAACTTATAAAGAAAAACGTAGATGAAATACAAACCTTCCATATACGCCTTCAGTTAGTCGTGTTCGACGCAAAGACTTGCGTACTTTTACATTATCGAAATTTGTTCGCCGCTTCATTTATACTGTTGAAGTATACAGAGAATTTCATACGCAATACAAAATACTAAAACTAAAAGCAGTTTTAGCGTCAGCAAGTTGTTGAATTCTGAAAACTAATAAAACTATAAACGATTTCTACGCATTAGAACTAAGTATTTTAGAAAAATTACATCAGTAACGGTATTACACATTGTACTGAAATGTGAACTGCGTTTTCTTGAGTCATTAAAAACAGCAAAGAAGGCTTTATAGAAACTGTTGATAGGTCCATTGAACCAAAAGCTCGTATATAACACTTCGACGATAATTTATTTTAACAGACAGACATGGCATCCTGAACCATTATGGTATTCCGTTTTGTTGATTGATTGAACCAAATGATAGACTAAATCTGTGATTTTATCATTAAAATTAAAGTTGAGTAATCAACAAGTTAAAAAGCTATGGGCATGCCATAATCAAAGATTTCTAGTTTATCGATAGATGTCGCAGATGAATGGCTTTATTAATTTCATGCACTTATGATATCCACCTGATTCAAAGCTATAACTAAAAGGAAATTTTTTTGCGAAATTAAGTGAATAGTCAATCAAAAAAAAACTCTTAGTTATCTATATAGATTAATCCCATCTGCTGAAGTACAGCACAAGGTTAACTTCCTCAATAATTATGTTACATATATATTAAGTTTTGGTATGAGGTTCAGAAAGAGACAAGTAGTAGACAACACCATGTTTTGTATGGTGAAGGAAAAAAATACCGAGAAAAAACGGAAGAATGGGAGGATGGGTAATACAAGAAATATTAGTTAAACAGTTTCGATTCTTGGTCAGAAACATGTCAGAATGTTGTCTGGAATATATCTTACAACTTAGTTTCCCAAATCTCGGGTGTCGATTTGGTTGTATCTACAGTTACTCGAAAGAACTCGAACATTCTATTTACACAGTTGTTGATAAAAAAAACATTGAATTGTATATCAGCACGCGTGGAGAAGCTTACAAGTATCATATTGAAACACTAGAAAAGGTTTGTTCTAAGAATTTATTACAGTACAGGGTGGTTCAAAAGTCATCCGGCAGTCTTTGATTGCGATGTTGGGAACACTTCCGAGTGACCTAAAAATCTGGTTTTAGTCTCATTCGATAAAGACTTAAATTCTCTACAAATCTGGTATTTAAATCTCTGATAGCATTTTTCTCGTTTGAGCACCATTCAATATTTTGCTGAGTTGTCGAACTGCGACACACTGAAAATAGAAAAATATTTGCCTTGATCTAAAAATACATTCCATAAGAATTTGGAAAATACCAGAAGACTCACCGAAACATTCTGTATCTTCTCACATAGTTTTCGAAATTTTGCAGTTAAGTCTTCTAGAAAAATTTCTCTGTACAAAAAACTGATAAATCTAAGACCCGGTTTTCTGGAAAATCAGTTTTTCAAGAACTCTAAAAAATAATCAAAACCTTTTTTTAATGAGGCACGATTGTAGCCCGTAAAGTTCTGGTTAAAATGAGACATCTCCTCAGCTCAGAGCTACAGAAATCCGTATAAGAAATTAATCTAGGGCTTTTCTTGTAAATTTTATAACCTTGTAAAGAAAGATCGTATAGAGCTGGGAGATGTCTCATTTTAATCAGAAAACTACGGATTGCAATCATACCTCATTAAAAAAAGTTCTTGATTATTTTTCAGAGTTCTTGAATAACTGGTTTTCCAGAAAAACGGGTCTTCAGGAGCCATGAACTCGAATTCTTTTAGGGTATTTACTACCTTACTGAGATCTATCGATCAATGTAGAAGTCATTAGAATCGGAGAGGTACATCTTGGGAGGTTCCCTCGTAAGTAAAAAAATTTTATTTTATTTTGAAAAAATTGAAAGGCCGGTTGAGAACTAATTATGAGTCCGGTTGACGTAGCAGAAATATTGTATGCAGTTCTAAATGAGTGAGATCGATAGAGCATAAAATTCTCTATCTATTTACGTAGAACAATTGAATATTGAACCTCAGACAATGGCTGAAAAATCTCAAAAAAAGAAGACGACAAAAGCACGTCGCAGTTCGACAACTCAGCACAATTCAAAATATTGAATAGTGCTCAAACGAGAAAAATGCTATCAGAGATTTAAATATCAGATTTGTAGAGAATTTAAGTCTCTATCGAATGAGACCAAAACCAGATTTTTAGGTCACTCGGAAGTGTTCCCAACATCGCGATAAAAGACTGCCGGGTGACTTTTTGGACCACCCTGTATATAATTAGTTTTTCTCTCAAAACTGAAAGTTATGTATAATATGTGAATACTAACTCATTTGACTCAACATTTTGTGATAATTTGAGTATGATATTTATTTTGGTGAGAAACGATGCTATATATCTCTTACCGGTGAATTACATCTGAACACAACAATGTATCACAATTTTGCTAATACTTTAAATTTTCAAGCGTGACACAAATTGTTTTTCTACTTTAAAATACGTTAGTCCAATAGAGCATAAACGTTTGTATATTTAACACAAATTTTCACGAAATAATAGGCTTTTCTACCACTACACATGTTCCCTAGTGGCATTGGAAATAAAACACTTCAGAAATTATTTGATGACAAACGTCCTATATAAATATCCCGCATAGAAATATTTGTTGAGTTTTAAGTAAGCGAGAGATACTAACGTGAAAAACATGAAAATTTCGAGAATTGCTTGAAAGCTGTCTTCACAACAATATTCTTTGCTACACTGTTCAGACATTTCGATCTTGTTATACATTTAACTGACATGAAGGTACGCTTTTTTGAGCCATATTGAGATTCACATATAAAAATGATAAATTTTAAAACAACAATTTAAAGATATCCAAAAGAAATCAATCGAATGAACATTCGTCGAAAATATTAATTCGCAGGATTGTTAAAATAAAATTTACTTCCGCTATTGTACCTCCAAATATCACCAATTAAAAACTGCTTAGCCAGCCTATTTTAGAGTTTTTGTTACATTTCGATCTTTTTGCATTAGAAACTCTCTGACTGTTAGAACGCTAGATGGACTCAAGTTTGTGATTACATGTTGGTACATCGCATACTTTTCTCAACTTATTTCTGTGACGGATTCAGACTTTTTCTTCAAGGTACATGCGCAAAATACTAAGTTGCATGGTATTTTACTCATAGTACTTTTAATTTTGATCTTTCAAGATGACATTCTGCTATCGGTTCTATTAACCGAAAAAACTATAATAGGCTGTGCTATCGTTCATTATCCAAAACCCTTTTCATAACTCATCTTAGGAGTTTTTACAGTTGACGGCAATAGAACAGTTGATGATCGAAATTATCCTTGACATGACTCAAGAAATTGGATATTAGTTGAAATTATATAACTATTTAATCAAATTGTAGGCTATCAATAATGTAAGGATCAATTTGTCATGTATCTAAATCCATGTTAGTGACGCAAGATTTTCTTAATTTATACATACTGTGAGATATTTCAACGTACGAAGATGATTCATCGTGTCCCTCACATGCATGTCGAGACAACCATTTCTGTGTTTGATTAGGGAAAATATTTTCCAAATGACAGATTTTATCTAATGTTTTATGTTCATCCGTGTGGTAGTTAGAAATTTTAGAAAAAATAAGTTATAAGTTGGTAGAGTGAGATAACCACTGAGACCATTTCAAATTAGATGACTATAGAGTTAATTACACGACATTACTTAGTAATGCAGAACAAAAACAATGGAAAAAATGCTTTTCCTACACGTTTTCTTCTAGAATACTGACTGCAGGAAGTATCTTTTTATTGCGTAGTCTATGCAGGAAAAAATCTTGTTCTTTCCTCCTGTATGAAAAAAACGTATTTTGGGTGGATACATTTTTCTGTACAGTTTTTGACTCTAATTAAGCATAATTCGTAAATATTTATTTCTACACAATTTTGCATAGAGGTAAGAAATTTTGCTATTCCTGTCTTGTGTATTATTTATCCAGGTGACATAAATTTTGCCAAAAAAATTCAAAACACAGTGTCTATTAAACGTGACATCTTGAACATATCTTTCTGTGAGGAATACAGCCATGTAACAAAGTCAACATTATCTCTTGGGTGGGAAGATTTTAAAATTGTATGAAAATAGATCGTTTATAAATTTTAATCTCTTTTCCAGAAAAGCTATGCAGAAAAATGTCTTCATCATATGCAGTAAAAAGACATTCCCAGTAATCGATATTCTGGAAAAGGTCGTGCAGCAAAAAATTTTCATTCAGAACAATAAATACATTTTATTGATTTCACGCTACGTCTTCAAAATCCATTGACAAACAAGACTCAACTCTAACATCTACAAACTGATCATTGTTGTTAATTACACAACATTACAGAGGACCACTTCAGAAAATACATGAGACTGTTATATTTTGAGAAAAAATACTACAAAAGCCAAATATATCTACGACATCTTCATTCAGTTATCAAGTTTAATCTCATCTATTCAGATATATTTGTAACAATTTATATTGGGATATGGATTGTTTAGTACAAGACTTAGCAGATTTAAATAAATTAATGACCTTTTTACTGTTCTATTAATATTAATATATATCTTTGAAGTAATTTCTTCTTACATATTTTCAAATTCATACAAAAAATGTTTAAATTCAACTGATAGTCTTAAAATTAAAACATAGATGTATTCAAGAATTTTTAAATATAACAATGTTATTATATATTCAAAAGTTTCGTTAATATGGTTGATTTTTCATATATTACTTTTTCTAATGTTGTTTATATTAAGTTGTTTGGATAAATAAAGGATCAAATAACAAAATCATAGCGAGAATATTACTATTTATATGCTCTTCATAATAATTCTATTCTACCATTCTCTACTTTTTATTTAAATCTTTTGAAAAATGTTTAATAATTTTATCGACCGCAATTCTACCTAAAAAGTTCAATAATGAGAAAAAATTATCAAATAGATAGAGTAGAAAGTTAAAACATAATAACGTACGATAAGAAATTTGATTTCTTTCTTGTTTTGACATTTCGCTATATGTTCTTTCTTCGCCCTTCGGTTGTCCATCAGGTATAAATACCGGATGCCAGCCTTCACTTTGTTCATATTTAACTGGACGTGGTGAAACTATTATTCCTTTACTTTCACCAGTAAACAATTCTTTAAAGATAAAAAAATAAGAAACACAATATTGCCAAGAAAATACAGATATTTTATACTAGGCTCTGTTGGATTGCCATCTTTGTCTTTTTCACCATAGGCATATATGACTTGAGCAATAGCACGTTTGTCGTCATATGCTGTTAAGATTTTTGAGAAACCTTCTAGTTTCAAATCTTCTACAAACCATTTGACGTAAGGACCAGGTAAATGATTTAATGCTTTAAAGCATAAACTAACATCTTCAATAAGTATAGCACCATCAACCATTTTTTGTGCTGCTTTGCATTTCTTTTTGGCAATTTCTTCTGGATCACCTTGATATTCATCTACAAACAATTATTTTTATATTCTTAACATAAAAAAATTCACGCTTGATCTAAATTCAACATACCAAGATCAATATCTTTGGCAACAAGCTAGAAATAAAAATTATCTTTTAAAAAATAATCAAAAACATTATATTGAAAAAGCTTACATTAATATCTTCATTATCCTCTAATAAATCAGTGATTTCGGCTAACTTTTCTTTGTTTGATGTTATAAAATAAATTGTTTTCGCATTTGGATTGCTTGTTTGTGCTTTTGTTTCTGAATTTTTATCACTTTTTTTCTCTGACTGTCCTTTGCCAGCATCCGGTTGTCTTTCGGCTAAATCAGCGTTTTCTTTCGCTCGAGAACCACCTGTTGTTACATCTTTTAGTTTATTTAAAAGTGATGCCATTGTACGATTTATGTTTATCTAAATGATGCAAAAATTTTTATTTTACAATCCGATACTGTCTAAACATATCAAGAAAATCAATGATGTTCTTCTCAGAAATAGGATTTCAATGACTGCAGAATCCTTCGCAGCAGGCTCAAAATCCGACCTATTTGTCCAAGCAGACGGGCTCAGAACGAGTCACTGAAAAAGGTTGTCTCGGGAAACTTTGATAATTCCTCTAATCTATCAAATTAGAACGGTAATTTTGTAATAACTAATGAAAAGTAATCAGGAGAGACGAAATAGTTTACATTTAAACACTTACGCCCTTCAATTGATCATGTAAATCAAACTTGAAACATGTATATTTTTATTTAGACTTGAAGAAATTTTTTTTGTTATTAGCAACCGTTAGCTTGTATAGTGTTAGCTTACGCTGAAAAAAATCCGATTGAAAAAGTTTTGATTTAGCGTTGCGTTACTCTGAGCCTTGGATCGGATGTGAGTCAAAAATTTAATAGAAATGTCAATTTGATATTATTCTTTGATTTGAACATAAGATCTAACTGAACATTTTCAGTTCATTTTCTCTAAGATGATGATGTATTTTTCTGTCACGAATTCAAATCATATTTTCTTGAATTCCAACATATCATTTTTATTTTTCTCTTCATTTTTTATAATTTAACCATGATAGAACAATTTTTTCTCTTCAAGTCTCAATCACAACAGAATGAGTTAAGATCAATCATTTTTTTAGCAGGATACTATTAAACATATTAGGTTTTCACTGGTACATTAGTCTATGATTTGTTGAGTGAGTTCTATCAAACTTATTAACAATGAATTTTTTATTTCTAATTTTTTTTTTCTTCATTTGGAAATTTATTATCTCTAACAATGTCACAAATTATATTTTTCTTTTCAATTTTATAAGTAACCATGAATATAGAGGTGTCATACTGTGATTATCAAATAAAAAACGTAAAAAAAATTCATATATTTATTTCAATTGAAGAAAATTATTTTTATTTTTAATATTTTATTTGGAAATAACGATGCCGAAATGTTCTGATTGTGAAACATTGTATTCTACAATTAAATGTCTTGATTGTGAAAATTATTATTGTCTAAATTGTTCAAATGAACATCAACGTCAACATTTACTAGATTTAATTGATCATAAAATAAATTGGACAATAAATCAATTAGAAAAACAACTTTACAATGATTTAAATATTAAATATCAACGAATAATTAAATCGGCCTATCGTTGGATTGATGATTTAAAAATAAATTTAGATAAAACATTAAAAATTATTGAAAATATGGTTAAACAACGTTATGATCAAATGAAAATTGATATAAATATATATATTAATAATTATATAAAACGTTTTGAATCTTTAAGAATAAATGTTCGACATTTAAAACGTACAACAACAGATAATAATGATTATAATATAAAACGTTTAGCAACAATACAATCCAATTTATATGAACAATTTCAAAATTATACAATTAATTTTGATTTAAATTATTTAACAATTGATTTTACAAAATATTTTAATATAAATGAAAAATTTTATCAAAATAATTTACAATTAATAACAAAATATAAAGAAATAGATAATAAAATACAATCAAGTTATACAATAAATATTAATTCTATTATACAATATATGTGTAGTTCATGTTTAGATTTATTTATTTTTATTACAGATTTAAATTATTCAAAATTAATTGAATATAGAACAAATATGAATAGTTGTTCACCATTACATACAATTGATTTTCCTAAACATCAAATATGTGATATATGGTGGTCAAAACAATTAGATAATTTATTAATTCTTACATCAAAATCAGTTCATAAATATGATAAATATTATAGAAAAATTACTTTAATGATAAAAAATGATAATATAAATATATGGTATCAAATAACAACAAATCGTTTAGGTATATTTATTTTATGTGATAATAATTTAATTGAATATTATGATTATAATAATTATCAAATGAAACCTTATGAACAATTTATTAATGATAAAAATATTAAATTAATTCATAATATAAAAGGACAAGAACAATTATTAGCTCTATTAATATTTGAAACAACAGATTATTGGCGTTTTGAAATATATTCAGATAAAGAACGATTACATACAATAAAATTAGATGAGTTTTTTAGACCACCAATATCATTTTGTGGAAATGAACAAGATGGATGGATTTTACCTGATATTGATAAAAAACGATTAATTTATATAACAAATAATGGAGAAATTAATGATGTACAACTACTATATGAACCAAATAATGTGACAATACTTGATGATTTTACATTAGTTATTAGTACAAATAAGGGACGTCTAGTATTCTATGATAATAAAAGAAATTGAAATGAATAGTTAACTATCCATGATTTATGAAAAAATAAAAATAAAATAAAATAGATACATATCGAGATAAAGACAAAGATGTTGAAAAGAAAAAATTATTGATTTATTATTTTTAAATATTTTACATAATTAACTACAAAAAGTAAAAGTAAAGTGTGACGTAAAATAGCATTGTGTTCATCTCGAACTTAAGCTAATAAAAAACTTAGACAAATACATTATAGGCAATTTTAGAAAAAAAAAATCTTTTTCATCGATACTTGTACAACAATATGCATCATCGATACAAAATGATAGTTATATATTTGATATGAATGTATATCAGTGCAAAAACATTACTGGAAAAGTGACGTTTAAAACAAGAAAAGAGAGCGGGAGGAGCATTTGATACATGATTTTCATTCATTGTTTTGTTTTATCAATATCTTCTTCATGTGACATTAATTAATTATAGGATGGCATTTAATTTGGAGGAGATAGATCAGCATTGTTCGACACTCGTGTAATTTCGGCACTGTCAATGGAGGTTTGTCAGTAGCCGTCCTAACCTTTTTGGTAGAATCCTTACACTAGGACTTGAGTTCTATATACTAAAGATATTCTAAAAATCAAAATTTTTGCTAGTCTTACTCTCGTCTCGATTGTATTCTCTTATTTGAAGGACTGATTGTGATTTTCATAATATCATCATGAATTGTACATCTGTTTCCAGAAATGAGATATTGTTTCTTTGCATTCAAAAATCCTAATGCTATTTCAGATTTAGTCAATTTATTATTAATAAAGCTCATAAGAATAAATTAATTATGAATGTTTTCACTAAGATTTTTGATATAGACAATAGAATTTTTCATCAAAATCAATATCATTACCTATCTATAACATGATGAAATATTCATCTTTTACATTTAGAACTCATAAAGAATGCCATGGAATCTGCTGATGATTTTGTGAATATCATCAAACATGTGTATTTCTCTTATTCTTGGTGATGTTCGTCATCTGAAATACGTAAAATTGTTTCAAACGTGTTTAGATATTCATCTACTTCAGCTTTTACTTGTCTATCATTTGACTGTACATATCTTAGATCTAAGAAACATATTTCCTTCGAATAAAATGATAATAAAACCGATAAACAATTCAATAATATATCTAAAATGACAAAAAAAAACAGTAGTTATGAATTCAGTAACTTATACTCTAGACTTGGAATGCTAATTCAAAAAATACCAGCAAAAGTTAGAATGAGAATGAGAATGAGAGAGCCAGCCCTATATTTATTTACAAAGAACATAAATTATTTCACTAGACTTGTTGCAAATATATTTTGCAACGTATCCATATCACATGTATGAACACGTTCCAATATTGTATTTCTTATAGCAATTATCGTTCTTATTGAACTAGCTTTAATCCACACTTTTCCATTAGCACCAATGACAATTTCATAGGGGATTTCATCACCCAATCGTTTTAATAATGTTTCTTTTTCATAATTTAATAAATCATTTGCTGTTTCAATGGGTATATCGAACAGATAACCGTCCAATAATATTCCGTAACCATCACTTTTTCCATCATCCGTTATACATGTCAGTTGTGGTTGACTTCCATTAATTTGCTTTACTTTACAATAGACAACATCTCCTCGATCAACATTTGGTTTATTTCGTTTTGTTGAACCTTCAAAATCGTATAAAGATAATGATGCTAATTCATTTAAACCAATATCAACCATAACAAAATCGATTGCACGACGAGTAACAATGCCCAAAACGGAATCATTATGTTCTAAATCAGAATAACGACGATGACCATCAATATAAAATGTAGGATGCGTAGATGATTTCAATTGTTTAACATGACCACATTGATATGCTGTAAACGATGTTATATCGGTTTCATAATCTAAACCAGGACCAAGTTCAATTGTACAATCGTCTGTTGTTGATAAATCAATAAAATCACCTGGTAAAACGAAATCATTTATTTGATGAATATCGTCCATTTTTTTTAAATTCGTCTAGAATAAGAATTTAAAAAGATTGTCTGTACTAAAATCTCACAATCACAGAGATCAAAATCAATATCCAAGAATATTTTTTTTCAAAAAATTAGTAGATAAGTTGTCATCGTACTATGATTTGAAGTCACTAAAATATATTTTAATCAGTCAATTGATAATGTGTCGGTTCAGTTTACGAAGATGATCATGAATCTAATGTTTATTTCACATAAAAATTAAGTTTAATAGTGAAAAGTGTCAATACACTGTAATTTCGCCTTGTTTTGAGAATATTTTGTGGTTTTCAAAAAATGATGTACCTTTTTTTTCTTTCAAAATATGTTCAGTCGGCAGTATATAAAAAGCTGTCTGTTTAATATAAACGTCACACTGTTTGCAGCTTTTGGTAAAAAAAAAAAGAGCAAAAATATCAAATGAAACTCAGGATTTTCTGAATTTATGATCTTATTTTGGAATTTTTCTTTTTTAACGTAAAAAAAGTTTTTTGAGAGCATATTCTGAAAGAGTATAACATATTTGAGATATCTGTTAAAATATTTTTTCTACGTGTTTTGAAGTGATAGATCACTTTAGATCTGAGTAGCTAACGTCACATAGTGTGCTTCTAGACGGAAATTTGGCCAAAAAACGTAAGTTCACTTTTCTCCCATTTTAACAGCATTATATATACTGTGAACGATGGTGAATTTAATGACGAAAAAATTTTCGTCCTAAGTGTTTTCCTTATGGAGTAAAGTTAGATGGAAAAATATAGCTAAAATTAGAGTAATTTCGGAAACGCTCGATTTTCTCATACCAAATTCAACTTCTATTCAAATATAAGTACATATTCGGAATCAGCAAACATGAGGCTATCCTTCGGTAAAAATATTTTTTGAAAAAGTTTGAGGTGAGGTTACACGAGCGGTTTTTTCTGTAAAGGGTCGCACGACCTGTCCACGTAACGCGTGATTCCGTCACGATTTTTGTTGTTCTGCGAGCCTCTTGGCGTTCGAACAAAAGGAAATTAAGGAATTGTTTACATCTAGTCTTGTAGAGAAAAGTGAGCTGAACAAAATGTGATATTTTCCGTTTTCGCAGAATATTGTGGTCGTCAAGCACAACAAAATTTTTACGAGCCCCAATCAAAAGTCCGCCAAAACAGAGCTCGTAAAACTTTTGTTATATTTGAGAACCACGACACTCTGCGGAAACAGAAAATATCACATTTTGTTCAGCTCACTTTTCTCTACAAGACTAGATGTAAACGATTCTTGAGTTTCCTTTTGTTCGAGCGCCACGAGACTCGTAAAACAACAAAAATCGTGACGGAATCACGAAAAGGCGACCGTTACGTGGACAGGCCGCGCACTTAAAAAAGCTTTCTGCAATAAAATGAGCGCGCCAAAGCTAGCCAAGCACAAATCGAATTCAAAAAGAGGTTAAAATACTCGTCTCATGTTCCTGCATCTGTCGTACAAGTGGTTAAACGCGGAAATGTATCTAGCCCTCCCTATAAGGAGATTTCCAAAAACTCTCAGTTTTCAGATAAAATGCTTCTTTTCTGATTAAAAAAGGCTTTTATCCAAATAATCTATATATATATATTCGGAATCAACGTGAAAAACTGCATCGAATAATATATAGTTTGTTAGTTTTACAAATAAAATATTTTTGGACAAAAATTCAGGGTAAGCGCCTAAGAAAATTTTTGTCGAAAAAAGTTTTTTTCGAATTCGACGTTTTTGACTTCTACTAATATCTGACACATACTAAAACTATATTATGTTAAAATAATCATTTTTTAACTAAAAAAAACAGATGTCTGCCTGCTCTATGGGAAAATGTCCACTGTGCGTCAGTGCCCTCTAGACAGTAAAACTCAATTTTCTCTATGAAAACTCAGTTTTTTCAGCTTTGAATGAGATATTCACAATCAACATTAAAAATTGCATCTAGTCCATTCGATCGCAAAGAGATCTGAGACAAAAGGATTTCTGAAAATCCTGGGATACCGCAGGCGTTCAAAACCTAATGGAAAAATATCGAAAAACTAAGCGATGCAATCTGTTCCTAACATCACTTTAATATGTTTCACATTGAAAAAAATCAAAAATATTTTAGAGAAATATTTCTAGCTTATCCGCTCATCCCTCTTAGAGAAAAATACTTATATGGTAGTGGTACTTATTGTGATTCATTTTTGGACACTTTACTGAGGTTTCTTTTCAATATTAGATAGTTCATTATCAATTAAATAGACGTCTCAGATCAACTTTTAGGTATGACAATAATCTCAAGTGTCAGAGTCTCATATAATCTAGAAAACGAGTTTTGTAGAAATCCTTCTTAGATGGCTATACAAGTATTACTAGGTTTTCGTTCGTTTTATGTTCGATCCTTGCTTCGTGCAAGGATTGATTTTGTGTTTTCATAATTTAAGTTTCAGAATGATATAATGGGAATTTATATTCTCTATTCCATTCTGGTTCAAGATTAAAATTTAAATCAATACGTTTCATCAAATTAGTACACCTCTTTATATAAATTGATAGTTTGCTTTTACATTTTCATTTATTACACATCTATTTTTTTCTAAACATCAAAAAAAAAAATTGAAAACATTGCGTGTTACTACGTATTTTTCTTTTTTATCAAAAAAAAAATTCCCGAAATCAGCACACGAAAAAGTAAACGAACAGAAAAAGAAAATCCAAAACAATTCTCAAATTTAGACTTCGAAAAAGACGAAGAACAAGATACAAAAAAAGACTAACAACTGATAAAGCCTGTAAGGGAATAAATGTATGAGGTTGCTTTGAACATCATGATTGCTTGTTTAACGAGAAAAACAGAAACAATCAGATAAAATACATTAAATAAATAGTTGAATAGAACAAGATATTGCTGAATAATGTCGACAGATACATATACTTCTTGTTCTTCTTTCTTTATCAGTTTGCTGCTTTGACACAAAATAGAACAGAGAATAACAAGAAAAAAATATATAATTGGAAAAAATACCATTAAATGAGAAAGACAATCAGAGCAGCTCTTATCTTGTTAGCAAAAAAATCATTCCATGCTTCCATGTATTAAACAAGCATTTCATTTGGTGCATCTAAATCCTCATAACCAACTAGTTGGCGATTTGTACTAAAAACAAAATTAACAAAATAGATTAATATTACTGAAAAGAACGATACATTTTAGGTTTTTAAATGTATCCGTATTTCAAGCAAGTATTTTCTACAAGTTTTGACGTCAATGGGCAAATATATTTTTAAAAAACCTTTTTTGTCTAAACTAGCGATAATATAACTATAGATGGAGCAAAATGAAGACCAAAATGATAAAGAATAACTTGCAATATATAGATCTGCATAAAAGTAAATATCGATAAACGATACTGTGATTAAAACACATACCTAGCCGAAGTAATCATATCTGCGGGTATTACAGGCATATTTCTAAATTGTTTCATATCTCTCACTCTCTCAACTAATATAGAATAAGTGGAAGTTTTTTACTTACGGTCGTCGATTTGGGAGACCGCCAGGTGGACCACCGCCATAAATAAATGGTCGAGGTTGATAACGTGGAAAATTATGATAATTTGGAGGTGGATGAGGAGGAACAGGATGTGCCGGTGTTGTGACTATAGAAGAAAAATGTAGATGTTACCATAAATAACTAAAAGATGTTCACAAATATTTACTTTGAGGCCATATTGGAGGACGCGACAATAGTGGTGGTGCTCCCAGAGACGGCGTTGGTAAAGGTAAACCAGACGGATGAGGCGGCATTGGCGGGCGAGTTGATGGATGTTCCGGTAATTGTGGTCGTTTTGGATCGAAGAGATAATTATTGAAAAAAATAACCTAAAACAAAAAATCGAACTAAATCAGTTAATTTCGATATCATCAAGTCGATTGAACAACATTAATCATTGTAAAACTTATAGATTATGGATAAAGAATTTGTAATAAACAGCAAAACTAAGCTTTTGTATTCAATTTCGTATTCATACAGAATTAATTTTGTGTTTTTTGATAGTTCAGGTTTTAGTATACTATAATCGATTTATTTCTACTAATTTTCTAATCAATCTACAGCAAGATGTTCTCTATTGTATCCACAAACAAATCTTTTCCTTTAGGTTCAATATAAAGATTAAAATAATAATTACCTCTCGTCTAACATCTTCTATTTTATCTTGATATTTATTAAAAATATGTTTTTTAACAAATTCTGGTCCTTTAAATTTTTTACCACTTATTGGACATAACCATTTATCTTTGGCAACTTCTTGACAATTAGCATTAATAAATTTATCAACTTCATCTTGTCCAATTTTCAAGCCTAATTTTTTAGCTAAATCATCATCTATCCGTTCTTTATAATCAATAAATGGTTTTAATTTCGACTCAAATTGTTGCATAAAATTATTTAATTCTGGTGTTGATACAGTGGATAGTTGTGGTCCACGAGCATGAATAATTCCACAACGATTTGGCATTGAATCTTCTTGTTGATATTCAATGGCATTATAATAATCAACAGAATGTACGACACGAAGATAAAGTATCAAACGATCTAATACCTAAAATTAAAATAGAGTCATATCTCCACATTCATATAAATTGAAACTAGTTACCTTTGTTAATTCTTTATCAATTTCAAATGTTGATTCATTCGGATTACCATGCATATGCGAATCACTACCACCAAGTAATTCTTCTTCTTCGGCGTTTCCTTCTTCGACAAGGTATTCGGTAATATTTTTCAATAATGGATTATAACTAACAAATCCAATCGGCTACAAAAAAAATATATTAAACACATCCAAAATATCATTTTAAAAAGAAATAAAATCTTTACTACCTTCGTTGTTGTAGAGGTCGTTGAAGATGATATCTCTGAGTCATCTGATGTTTTTATTTTATCATTTGTATTATCGCTATTATTTTCCCAGATTTTCCAACGTTCATCTAAATTTTTAATTATTTTTGTTGCTGAACGTAAATCATTTCGTACAATTGTCTTATGTTGACCAATGCCATTTATTATTCTAGAATAAAATAACCCAATATAGATAACGACATCATTCAATAGAGTTAGAAACAAAGTTATATACCGAATACGATTTTTCAGTTCACGATTAACAATAGCACCTGTGTCAACATCACGAATCTAAAACAGACGAACAATGACTACTTTATGATATTCATAGTGAATAAAGTAATAATTTACTTTGTTTAAATTTAATTCATAGCAAATATTACGTATTTGTACGTTTGAATCAAATGTAACCCAACCACGACGTAAAAATTTTCGATCAGGTGCCGGATCTGTTAAACAAACACGACGAAAACCAGTATATTGTTTACATAACTAAAACAAAAAACAATAAAAACTATGTTTCCTAATGATCTGTTTTCTTATTAAATATAAGATAAACCTTACATTTTCAATATCTTCTTTTGTTGTCGATGAAGATAAATTTCTTAAAAATATTGATAATGTTTTGTGTAACGGTCTTGGTGCATCCGGTACTTCACCCGCTTCCGGCTCTTCTTCTTTATTCTCTTGACTAGAACTTGCTTTTGGATCAATACTATCTTTTGATGATGCTGAAAAGAAAAAAAATTTAAATCGACATTTTAATCACATAAGAATCAGACGAAAAAAAAACCTACTTGCTGATGGTCGATTATTTTTTTTTGTTTGTTCACTTTTAAGAGATGTTGTTTCATTCACGTCATCACTTTCACCATCCGAATAAGCACCGTCTTCTGATCCACTACCTTCGCCATCTGAACGATATTCTTTTTTAACAGCCTGAGTACGTTTTTGCTATCACAAAGAAAATAGAATAATTTAATAAATAAAACAAGTATGAAAACAACAATTTACTTTAGGTACTTTGGATTCTTGTTTCGGCGATTTCATCTCATGGTCTTCATTGTCACCTTTACTATTTGTACCATTGACATTCGTTGGTGTCGATGCATGTGCTTCTTCTTTGATCGAGGGACCAGCAGATGGTTGTAATAACGGTGTTACAGTCGCAGATATTGTACCCTCACTTTTAATTACTTTATCATTTCCAACTGAATCTGGTGGTTTTGTTCCCATTCCCATTTCATCAATATCATCATCGTTATCCACATTTGTTGTGCTTGATGGTTGAATAACATCCAATGATTTTAAATCATGATCCGTTCCACCTTCCATTTTAATAACCACTTAAATGAAAACGAAATGATATATACAAAAGAAACGAGTGAATTGTTACTAAATATACCAGCATCAAGAAAACGTGTTAAATTATGCTGATTTTCAACATCAACACTGGCATCATCAAGCCAACCTTTACTATATAATTCCATAAAAACATCCAAACGTTTTTTAATTGCTTGACGTTGTTCTTCTCGACGTTTTGAATATTCATCTGGATGATATTTATGTTTGAACCTGAAAATATGATGTAAATAACTTTAGCATCCAAGAACAAATCGAATTTCGAAACCCGAAAAATTAGCTATACAATCAGATCAGAGGACTCAGTGACAGGTATTCTATTGATGTATGCCAGAGATAATACACAAAATGCAAACTATCTGACCAACTCACTGATTAAGATAGATTAAGCCTATTTCCATGACTAGTCAAGTATGTCCAGTTTTGAGAAGAGTTTCATTTAAAAATTCCATTATTTGTTTTTAAAATGGGTATTTTTCTTTTCATTCCCTAAAAGAAATGTTTTACTTACTTCGAATATATGGTACGTGTTTAATATCAAATATATATATTGAACTTTCTAAGATGAGATAGTGATTTTAGAAATCAGATTCATCCGACAAAAAGATCATGATAAACGTTGTACTCAGATTTTTGACGTATATAGTTAAAAAAAACCAATGATCTTTATATAATACGCTTAAAAAGAGCGTTACTGTTTTCGTTTGTTTTATCATGTTCAGTTTTAAAACTGGATACACTTCCATTAAGAAAAAAAAAATGTTCACGTAGGAAAAGTTATATGTGACTGATATGTCAACTTTTAATGTAACATGAATGTCGTATAAAACGAAAAAATTCTTCAAAAATATTAAAATATGACGAAAATTTAACGCGAAATGTATAATTTATTGGTTTAGTTATATTCTATGGTGTAACTATCGATATATATGTATATATGGATAAAAAAATTCTTGATAAAACTCAGTTAAGTCGTTGAAGATAGGGAAAAATTTTAAGAAAGAACTTTATTACCATTCATAGACCAGAGTGAATCAAATGCTAAAAATGGTACTGAAATAGTAGTGAAACATACTGTGAATATAAAGAATTAAAACCAACTTTTAAAATTGGTTTGAGAGTGCACCACCGACAATAAGCAGTGATAGGAGATCTCAGCTATACCTCTATTCCTAGCTTCAAGATAATTGAAAATAGACTAATAACATTTTAGTTAAACATATTCCCATATTTTGAAAGTTTCTAAGTTACAAAGGGGTCTTGTCTAGCTCTTGAATTTTAAAACTAACTCTTCTTCACTTTAAGATAAAGACGTGCACTTATTATCGGGAATCATTTCCTAACCGGTGCTTTCTTCTTTCTGGGGTGAAGAAAAAAATATTTGTTTTGTTTTTACCATTCTTCGTCCTTATGTGCTTGGAAAAAATCATTGATCTGTTGTTTTTTAAAATCAATTTTGTAATCATTGTATCGTTTTACCGCTTCATCTTGATCAATATTTTCGTCCTGATCATGAAGAAAGTTTTTGAAACTCAACATTGGTGGCTGTGTTGGATAATCGACCGAATCTCTATTTAAATGTCCACCTGAGCCGCTATGGTGCATTGACGGATATTCATGATGAAATGGATTGCCAAAATAAGGTGGAACTCCTTCGTAATGTGGAACATCTGGACCATCCCTAGTTTAAAAAAAGTAATAGATTGATTTATTCTTGTCTAAAAAAAAGCAAGAAAGAAATATTTTACCAGTCACGACGAATACGTTTATTTTGTGGAGGTGGACTCATGTCGTATCGTCCAGGACTACGACTATACCTCGGATATTCTCGAGCACCAGTAGGATACTGGTTTGGTTCTCGTCGACGAATAGGATTCGATCGATCTCTGAAAAAAGTAAATAATATGTTAAATGTACAAGTTTTTTCAATTCCCGAAGCAAAGAATAAATACGAGCTATTTTAAAAAAAATACAGCAAATAGTACAAAGAATTTTTACTACATTATTATCTTTCTCTACATACACACTTTCATTTGCGTTCATACTAAAACAAAACCTACTATGCAACAGGGTACGTGAACAGATTTTATGATATTTTAGAATACAAACCATTACTGCAAAAAAAACCTTGATAGTTACATCTGTTAACAGTACCTTTCGTTCCAATCATTTCTATTTCGATCATTACGTCCATAATCCTCTCGTTCACGACGAAATTTGTCGCGATTACGTCGATTATCAAAATCATCGTCACTGTCACCCATAATTGATATTTGTTGATGAATTAGTTTTACACGAAAAATGTATCAGCAAACAAAGAGTTTAAATAGATCTAAAAAACCAAACAGATAATTAGCTAGATTTAATATTTTTTCAGAATATTTTGGCGACTTTTATTCGAAAACATATTTCACAAGAAAAATAACAGGTTATCATGATTTAAATTATCTTTATTTTATATTTATTGAGTTCAATTTCATCTCCATTATCATCGACCACTTTAAGTATACTTTATGAGCCGATTAAAACACGTTTTGCTACAAAACCAAGTAGCATCAAAAATAGATAAACACCAATATCCTCTTGAACCCTCACCTTGACATCTGTCGATGAACAAGCAATCATATTCGATAAACTTAGACTTACGGATTTGGAGTAAAAAACGCTGAAAAAAAATTTTTTTTTCGTTATAGCTTTAATGGGTCCCGTTTCTGAATGACTAAATTTTCTTTTGCTTTAGGGAATTTCAAGAAGCATTTCATCCAATTCGTTTTCACAACGAACGAGTAGATCTACTCAAATATTCATGTATTCACAGAGACAAAAACTCAAACATCTCGAGAAACCAGTTTAATCAAAAATAATCTCAAAACTGTTTTATAAGCCGTAATCTCATCTGTCGAGTTTAGTAAATTGTTTCATTCGTTGAGTACGATCATCTCTCTGTTTTTCTCACTATAGAAGAAATGAGTTAGTTAGTCGACCATGAAGGATTTTATTTGAGGCGAGATGGACAAATAAACATCAAAGACAGAAATCATGAAGATAAGCGACAGTCTTTCCATGACACACTACTTAGGGTGAAAATGACTCATCACCAATTCGCCGAAAAAAAAACTAAGTACACTTGCGCTTTGCTAGGTACGCTTTGTCATTAAAAATCCGTGGGGATGACGTCTAAAAAGCATTAATATTGTAACAAACTCAAAACATTTTCAGCAATTTTTCAGAAATCTGCCGAAATCTTGCTGCAGGTTATTGAAATCAAAGTGATCACGTTCTTTAGCATTTATTTTTAGCTTCATTTTAAGGCTAACTTTATCGAATATGACTGATTGTTCATCGACAGATCTCATCTCTACTGAAGAAGAGTAAAACACGAAAAAATCATTTAAATAGGTACCAGTATGACTTCTCTAACTCGAGAACCAAATCCTCTTGGACGAAAAGGAACCTGAGCCAAATTTCTTTTCTTATTTCGAAAATGCCTATTATATGGTCGACCATTATACAGACTCATCAATTCAGAGATTTTGTCAACAAAAGTACCGGTTGTTGTGAGTTTTTGAGCAAAGAAAACTTTCAAATAGGCGTTGCTTTTTAGCAAGTATTCATTCATATATACACGAAGGTTAGGAAAGAGCTACCATACTGTCGTCACCTAAGTCTCTACATACATTTCTAGAATGTTTTTATTTAAAAATCACCACTATGTAACTTTGGTAAAATCGGCGAAACTGACAAGAATTAGATGATTTTCGATTTGTTTAATTATAACTCTCAGCCAAGACCCCAAGAAAACCATTAGATGAAGTGGAGGTCGTATGCATAGCACTTGCATGCATAATGACGCAGAAATGACTGAAAAAAATGTAAATCAATAAATGAACTGACAAGGATGATCTAATGAACTTCAAAGAGTTCAGGGGCCTGTTTCTTAAAAAAACTTAAGTAGAAAATCTTACTTAAGTCAAAAAAGACAAAGACTTTTTTGGACTTAAGTTTGACTTAAGTAAGATTTTCTACTTAAGTTTTTTTAAGAAACAGGCCCCTGGTCATACTCTTGACCTGTACAATGTATCATTTCCTAGAATGTATACTATATGAAAATACAATATGTACTTTATGTTTCTTAGTAGGAAATCGAGAATGAAGTAACAATATTGTAGTAAACTTTGTGAGAGCTGAAAAAATTAATTTTATTTTCGCCGTCCGGATTGAACTGAAACTTTGAGAGGTCAACAATGAACTGTACTTGTATACCTTGGGAAAGTTTTGTGTTTACACATTCTATAGTTTAGGAGATATTTTTGCGGTCTAAGCGCTCAATGCATCTTAACGATAACACGTAGAACTTAACGTTACTACGCTTTGTAAGTTGTTTCATAAACGGAAGATGTCATAAAACCATTATTCTGGAATAGATATTCATAAATCAACGATACATCTCTTCCGTTTATGAAACAATTTACAAAGCGTAGTGACGTTAAGTTCTACGCAGAGCTGATGTTACTGGGTAGGTGGGTGCGACACCTCCCCGCCAAAAAATAAAAATAAATCGATTTTTCCCAGCAGAAACAAGAAATTTTCTTGCGTTCTCTGAAAAAAATATTCTTATCTTAACGGAGCACCCCCGCAAAGGCCGAGTGGTCGCGACAGCCCTGGTTCTACATGTTATCTAAGAACGCAAGAATAACAAACAAGGAGAACGCTAAGAACGCAAAAATATCTCCTAAACCATAGAATGTGTAAACACAAAACTTTCCTAAAGTATACAAGTACAGTTCATTATTGATTTCTCAAAGTTTCAGCTCAATCCGTCTGAAGTGTTAAATATAGAATGAGTGCTTACTGGATTTTTGCCTGCGTTTACAACAGAATAAAGAATAATATTCTTCTTTTATGCAGCTTATTTCGCCATCTCTGTATATAGCTGGAAAAATCGATCCAGTTTCTAAAAACCAGCCGTGCCTTTAGATTTGTGTATTAAAATGAAACTCGTTTGATGCCTTCCAGTGTGCGACACTCATCAAAGAACGACCAGCTTTATAGTTACTTATAGATGACGTCATATAGAGTGAAGTCTCATCTACAAAATGCTGGAAGTTCGAACTCTTTTAGCTCTTTTCTTGCTCGATTTGTCCAGAAAACATGCAGAAAGCTTTCTGTTTACAAAAATAGATAGTTTATTTGTACAGCGTAAATTTTGCAATAAGTTTTCTCACATTAATTCGATGTTTTCAAGCTGTAGATAAAACGTGTTTGAGTTCTTCTTATCCGTTAAAATCAAACATGGCAAATTGTTTTGTAATTGTTAATACAGACAACGGAATCCCTTTACTTGTACGGTCTAGTGCTCTGTTAGAGCGTGAAGAACATATGCCTGATGTAATTCTCGGTATATTAAATCAACCATGTGATGATCAAATCCCCTTGTCAATAATTAGTAAGTTTTGATCATAATAAAAGTTAAATTTCAATTATTGATATTTAACTACAAATTCATTTCTATATTTTTTATTTTCCTGGTGTATTAACGAGTTGTTTTGTGTATGGCGATAAATTTGGTATAAAATTGAAGGTATGTCATAGTGATGATTGTACAATTCATTTTCATGAATACAATAAACATATCTTAATGTGTTTGTTACAACCATCATCATACAATATTCCCGTAGTCTACACTGAATGGAAATTTGTCTTATTAAGAACACTAATTACAATGATATATGGTTATGATTTAATCGATCAAATGAGTCAGTCAAATATTCAACGTTTAATCTATGAGTTTAATCTCGTTAAACCGTATGTTGATCTCATGTTAAATGATAAAACTCAAACATTTGGTGATTTGTGTCAGTGTAATGACACAATATGTGGTTTTGAACGTACACAAATGTTTACATGTTTAAAACTTATTACAGATCAATTGAAATGTGATTATGTTTGCATCACATTGTCAAATCGTATTATTGTCTCAAGTCCAAATTGGTCTAAATTAAAATTAAATGAACAATATGTATTACAATTATTAATTGCTTATAATCCTGAATTTAAATTTATACGTGATTATGCTGTTTATATCGAGTCAGTTGATCGAACACATAATTATCGTTTGATCACAGTACGTCTTATTGGTCATCTTCATGTTAGTTTACTATGTTCAAATGAACCAAAATTAAATGTATTTGAAAATACTATTGAAACAATATTTCGTCCACATATTGAATATATACAAAATATAAGTAGTTTATTATATCCACGTGCAATTCACGATTCAGTTCAATTTGATCATAGTATTCTTGCTCTATTATACATCAACAGACAAACACATTATTGTGTAAGTACATTACATCCAATACCAACAACAGTAACCAAACAAGATATTGTTGAACAACGTTTTCTAAATTTAAAATTATTTTATATGCAAATGATATCTCGGACAAGTGAAACATTGATACCACACACAGAACCATTAACAACAACGGTAAATGAAATGTATATGATTAATGATGATCATAAATGTTATTATTTAAAAGAAAATAATTATGAACTATTTATTTTATATTCAAATAGTATACCAAATATAGCTCTCAGAGGGATATCAAGAAAGACGCTAACATTATTAAAAAAACATTTATAATGAACACGAACTTTATATCATTATTAGCTAATACAATCGTCAGATTCTTCTAGAATTTTTATTGATGTTAGTATAGTATATAGTTACGAATTTTTTCTTTTTCTACATTGTTTTTATCAAGAACTTTAATGAAAAAATTATTCAGAATCTACTAAAATATTGGACACTAGAGTTAAACATGAATGTTTAGTCCCGACTGAGAAATATCGATGGTATGGTTAAAGAGAATATGAAATCTTCTCTGAATATTTGTTATAAAATGTAGTATGATGCCGAATGAGTCATGACGATTACGGGTACATCCTCTCTTTATTTTTGAGTTTTTGGAACAGGATGAAGGAAACATCGGATAGGCTTGAAATTTTTATTAGAGCTAGAACTTCAAATAAGACAACCGACGTGTTTTTGCTCAGAAATATCTAAAAAGGTCTTTCACAGGTTTTTGGAGACACCAGATTTTTCATTGTCGATCATGACCATCCTCTAAAAAGATTGTCTGACTGAGCTGAACTTTTTACTGTTGGAACCTAACTCCATTGTCCACATGTAGCTTTGACCACTTTCGTTTTCGACTTTTGCAGTTTGACTTTTGAAGTTTTTTAAATTAAAAACCTTCATTCTTCACACAATTTTCGTATTATCACTAGAACTTAAAAAGAAAGAAAGATAAAAGATTTTTCAAAAAAAAATATATCTAAGAAACACCATTAATAAAAATTTCGACTCGTCATGATCGACAATGAAACATCTAGTCTCTCAGAAAACCTACAAAACTCGTTTTTAGATATTTCTGAGCAAAACTACGTCGATTGTTTTCTAGACTTGAAATTTTTATCTGAACTAGAAGTTTTAATTCAGGTAAAAATTTCAAGTTTATCCGATGTTTACTTTATCTTGTTCCAGAAAATTAAAAAAAATAGAGAGGAATGTACCTTTAATGAACGGATGGGGAATTTTTCTTATAGGTGATTTAACCTGTGTCATACCGTTGCTTACTAATTGAAAGGGCTAAATTTAGTTTCAGGTTGAAAAAAAGAATTTCTCAAATATTGTGAAATCAGGAGATTTTTTCCATAGTTATGATTAGTAGCAAACTTCATCTGCGCGTTCAAACTCTGACTCCTGCGCTCTACAGAATTAGTTGATCATCTTTGCAGAACTAATTCACTTCTATATCAAATGAAATACCACCGTGTTTAAAATAAAAAGATGTATAGTATGCATATATAAAGAGAGAGGTTTTTAGTAGAGCTCTACCATTTAGCGTATCTTTATCTTTTTCTTGATGTTGCATGCAGATATCTGTATGTCAGACATAAGGATACATAAAAAAAGGAAAACATAATCTGCATGCGATATCAAGAAAAAGATAAAGATACGCTAAATGGTAGAGCTCTAGTCTAACATCTGATAGTAGTCTCATTATTCGCTGACAACCATGATTCTACCTTATCATGCAAAATAACTTTTGCATATTCACAGTGATTCATCTAGTTGTTGACACAGTTCATTTGAACGTGACTAAACTGAGAAAAAAAACCATTTTGCAATGTGAGAAGTCTTATTTCTGTCGAATCATTCTGACAAGCTATATAGAGCATGAATCATATCTGGGAAAGGTATAGTTTTCTTCGTTCTATATTTTTTGTTGGAATTTTCCGCGTGTAGTCTACCTCGTCGATGAAAAGAAAGAAAGAAAGCAAGAAAAAAAAAAGACGAAAAATTTTTTAATTCAAACAAATGTTTTCTTTGAGCTGGTAAAAGCGTACATGTGGACGAGTCTGTCGATATTATCTTCATTGATTTTTATCCTTTTTTGGACTTATATAGATCTTCCGTTTTTATTTTCTCTAGAAGTTTGTCATTTGCTACTACCATTTAAGAAGAAAATTGCAGAAACTAATTGTAACAATTACCAAGATTCGAACTATATAAAATTCCATGAAGACACTAGGTGTCATTTAGTAATACGGAGATCTAAAGAAATACAGATGCTTTTTTGACGATATAGTTTTTAAAATGTGCTTTTTTGATAGTTCATCTTGACGTGTAAACAGTTTAAATACAACTGTAAATAATATACATGTAAGTACAATGAGAAGAAAAGAAATATTTGGCAAAGGATCACTATACTACAAAAATAAAAGATTTCGAAAATTAAAACTTAACAAATCATTTTTCGTTTTGTTTATAATAGTTCAATTTATTCTGAAGTTGTATGAAAATAAAAATGTCTTCATTTTTTCTAGATATAAATTCTTCTATTGTAAACAGTATATTAATTTTCTATTTTTATTCAACTCTATGGCTGATCATTCAAATACTACCCAAAATGATAATTCAACAAATAAAATGACAGATCCACCAACACCACCTGGAGAAGTTGAAATAAATAATAATAATTATTCTGAAAATAAATCTGTTTCATCACATGAGGAAAATGCAAATACAATACCTATTTATAGTCTTCATCATAATCACACAACATCATCGTGTAATGATCCATCTCATAATCATTTTCATGAACCACCACCAACAACGTCTACTTCATCAAAGAACAAAAGAGGAAATCGTAAAAAATTAAAAGATCATATACCAGCGGAATTACTACCAGGACATCGTGGATCGGAAAATATTGATGATTTAGTCAAATATATTGAAAGTCAATCATCGGCGACAACTGCTGCTAGTACAATAAAAACAGATGAGAAAAAAAAGCGTAACAACAAAAAATAATCACATTCAATGTTAACCATATTTATGTAATCGAATATTTTTTCAAGAAATATATTGACTTTTTCAACAACTTTTCCAATAAATTCAGATATTCTGTTTGTTTTTTTTCTTCTCTTTTAACGTCTTTTGCTTTTCTCTACAAGAGACATCGTCAGAAAGTGAGCAGTGCCTTAGCCACAATATGTTGTTCGTTTTTATCCTTTTTTATATTAATGTTTTCATTCATTAATAAAAAAAATAACCTTTAAAGGTAGTAGAATTATTAGAGATAGAGATCCTTGCAAAATGATCGGACGAGCACCCGTTGACTTTTAAAAATTGTTGCAAGTATGACAAAGTATGTGAATTTGTTTTTTAAGATTCTGCATACATATGCAGACGTTTATTTCTTTTCTAGAAGTACTCGTACAAACAGCAAATTTTTGTCTGCATACATATCCAAACTATGATATGAAACAATATTAATATTTGCGTGTATACGCGTCCTCTTAATATAAAAAAAATAATTTTGTTTACGTACAGATATGGAAAAGTCCACGTAAGTGCACATCTTTTTTCGAAAATATACAAGTACGTGACTGTAGCATAAAGTTCCAAAATCCGCCTACTTACGAAAACTTTTTTTGTTTGTATATGTCAAAAAAGTGAAAGCACATTTATTTTTAGGAGAGAAAATTTCTTTCGTAAAAGTAAAAGTTCTGCAAATATGTTATCTAGAAAAGTATTTAGACGTATTCATAATATCTGTATTTGTGGCAAATTCTGTAAATATGTACAGACTTCAGAGTTAAAATTTTTCAGAAACATTCAAACAAAAATGTTTTCATTTATATATAGATTCTGTTCTCTTTTACATTGAATTTGCAGAAGTACGTAATCTAAATCACTACTGACAAATATGAAAACTATTTTGTTTATGTATTTTTCGAAGATTCGATACTCTTAAAGATTTTGTTTTGTTAAGAAAATTCTCTGTACAAACGAAATGTTTTTTCGCCCCTGTAATTTTATGGACTGTTCGCTAAAAACAAGAGTTTATTACTAGCGCTATAGTGGGCTTCAACTTATGCTGTACTCTTTTGTTTCTTCTGTCTCGGAATTTATTTACTTCTCTGTACAATTGGCTAAACTGTGTAAAAAGTGGGGAAATTTGAAATAAAGGCAACTTAGACTTACACATGATACAAATTTTATTTATTAAGGGAAACAATTTTTATCTAATACTAGACAAATATTATTAAAAAAACAAAAACAAATGATATGAGTCACTGTGTATTTTTCACACGTATCCACTAAGATTCAGAGAAAAGAGAAAAATTCTAACAAAAAAAGGTGTAATACGTAAAAACAGTAGTAATAAATAATAACAACTACAAAAATATTAGTTTGAAGTAGACTTAATACCTGTGAGATAATCTAGAGTGAGAAAAAAAAGAATTTTTAAAAATAAAACCTGAGTATTATTATTTATCAGCATCATATGCAGGTTTGTTTTGTTTTGTCTTGTTGAGATTTGTGTTTTTAACTGACTAGCCAAAAACAATAGTCTGCTAAATTCAATTCTTCTTCTTCTTCGATGATGATTTTGTTGAATCTCGACGATTTGATTTATCACCTCTCGCCTTTTTTGTATCACGTTGTTTAGTCCGTTTCAATGTTGCCATTTCTATTTCATGATGATCCATTGAATCTCCATCATTATAAAATTTATCTTGTACCAATTGAAAAAAATTCTCTTGTAGAAAAACACTTCTTAATGCGAATAAAACCATATGGTAACTGAAACAACAACAGAAAGTGCAAAAACAGCCATTTAGGCCACCAAAATCTTTTTAAGCTTAAAACTTTCATTTTTCCTTCTAACGAAGAAAAATTCTGAAAGTTTTCACAAAAAGAATATATCATTAAATAACTCTAACTATATCAGCAATTAGACAAAAAGTTGTTTTACCATCGCTTAAATTGTGTTGATTTTTTATTGACGAATATTTTAAAACGTTTATGTGTTTTTTCTTTCCAGTTTAATTTGTATTGTAAACGTTTACTAATCGATTTGTTCATATTTTTCTCAAAGGTTGAACTTATAGTTGCCCAATTTGTTTTGTTATTTATTAATAATTGATCTTTGGATAAATTCAATAATTCATCAAATGATTTATTATGAATTTGTTTCGACATATTTTCATATGTTAATCGAACCAGATCGACTAAAATCAATTAGAAAAATAATTTTTCACACCTCGATCGTGTTTATGTTTCATTCTCTCTTACCCTCTTCCATTTCGGGATAATGTAGTCTATTTTTGTCAATTGTGTCGTTGAGTAATTTGTCACTTATATTATGATATTTATCCCATAGTGTAAACATTTCTACATCCGATTGATTAATATAAACGTACATGTAACATGATGGATTTGGAGAAATTGTATAAACGTTATGATAATCACCATTAGGTACACTTGCTTTTTCACCAACATTTAATGTAACATTTTTCTTCTCTTTTAAATATTCCACTATTACTTTTCCTTCTAAAACTTCAATTGTCGTATTTAAATCATATGGAATAAAATTTTCCAAATGTAAATCTGTTTGAAAAAACGATGAAAAATGTCAAAAATCTTAGCATTTTTTAATTTATATTAAATAGATTCTTACCTGGAAAATCAGCAACAAATGTCACTAGTACATTTTGACTTTTATTTGATAAATCATGTTCAATTTGTTGCATACGTGTTCGCCAATCAGATAAATTTGTTAATAATGGTTTTAACCAAGACGTATCACTAAATGCACTCCATTTTGCTTCATTCAATAGATCAATACGTGGATCAATTTGTCGTTGATTAAATCTACCATTCATTGATCGCCATATGTCAAATTTAAGTTCAACATTATCATAACCATGTTCATTTAATTTTTTTCCAATACATTGAGCATATTGTACAATCATATCGGCATGTGAACTCCAACGTTTTGCTGTTGACCATTTATTTGGATTTAAATAGTGAAGTTTTTGTTTACTTTTATCAAAAAATGTTATTTTAACATGTTGTGTATGCCAATTATGGATCATCATATCCCATGAATAACCGTACAAACCGTTTGTCCAATTATTATAACCCAGAACACAAAAAGTAGTAAAATTATTAGAAAAAAATCAAAATATACTCATTTTTGTTTTGTAAACTTACTTTTGTTATAAAATGTGAATAGGGTAAAAATGATTGTTCCATTAAATATAATATTGAAATTATTGTAAAAAATTTATGACGAAACGTTGCTTTTGTATGTGCATATTTCATAGAACGGGTAATAATTGATGGTTTTAATCGTGTCTATTAAAGAACAAGAAATAAATATTTTATATATCATCGATTAGAGTCTTTTATTTTATTTTTTACATTTGTTTGATCTTCTACTTTGATATCATCTTTTGAATATAAACATGCTTCACTATATTGAGGCGTATCATTTTTAACAAATAATAAAGAAATAAATTTTGGAAATTTATTTCTTATAAATTTTCTTGGCCAATCATTATGAAAAAATATTGGTATTGTAGCGAGCATTGTATACGGAAACATACCTAAAATAAATTAAAAAGAAGAAGAAAAATAAAATGCATCTCATGCATTTCACTTTTCGATATAAACTACCAATTCATACCGATACTAAATAATTGTGAATTCATTAAATGAAATGAAGAACAAAACAATATTCCTATTGGACGTGATCGATCAAAAAATAAAATAAAACCAATAAATAAATCAAGTATTAGACCACAAATATGAACAAGTATTAAGGTTATTTGTTCAATAGTCATAAATGATCTAAAAACAAAGAAAAAATATTGAATTTCTATGAAAAAGAGTATTATTCTCATTGAACATACCGAAATGGTAAAAAAATCCAATGTTTTCCTAATGTATCCATCGAATAACCGGTTACCCAATCTAAATCGGTTTTTTTTAATCCAGCAATAAAATACACAACAAAAATCTTAATTAAAATAAAAAATATTTAAAACATATTCTATTCAAGAAAAAATATTCTTTTCATACCTGAAAACGAATAAGTGTATAATTCCATAACGGTACGTGTGAATCACGTATTTTTTTTTTAAATAATCCGTCTAATGACCTAGAAAAAATGAAATACTCAACTTTAACGATACCATTATGAACTATAGTCTCATCCACAGAATTTTATTAGAGATATAGAAACAGAGACAAAGAGTGTGCATGATGTGTTACATAGATAAAAAAAAAAACACAATTCAAAAGCAGTACAAAAAGTGTAAGAATTTGGTGAATAAATCAAACTAAGTGTATAAAAATAAGAATAAACGAGTAACTTACATGTTGATAAAAAGAAAAATATTCTGCAAAATAAAACATGAATTTTTATGACTATAACTACTAATAGATATGGGCTGATATATAATCTGTGTATCTTCTTATATTAACATAAAATAATTCTATACTTACCAAAATCTATGAGCATCGAATAATATTAATTGAAAACCAATCAAACCGTATAAATAGGAATGATTATTCCATGATGTTTTATCCAATAAAAATATGTACCAATATGAAATTGTAAATAATATTGTTGATAAACGATAGAATAGACCAAGAGTAATGCCAACAGCTCCTAAAAATAACGTAGACATAGACTATTATCGATAAAAAAAAATAATAATACAATCAATAAAATTTAAATACCTATAAACATTGTTAAATAAATAAGTACCATATATTCGGATCTTAATGGTTTCAAAAAATTGAATAATGGAAATTGACATTCAATATCCTCATTTGGATAATAAATATCAGCATGAGACATTCCACGCTCTATTAAAGTAAATTATTCAATAAAGAATGTTTTAATAGAGAATTAATTTCGTTACCTTGAGGAATATCAAGCACCATAAGAATGCCTAAAATGAAAAATAATGATAATAAGTAGAATTTTTTCGGAACAAAATTACTATACCGAACAAAATTCTTAATACAGCTAGAGAACTTGGATCTTCTGGACGATTCATTAATTTTAAAAAAGAATTCCATGATTGAAAATCAGTAAAATCAAAACCAAATAATTGTCTCATAGTATTCATTGATACTTTTTTAACATCTGTTTTTTTTGTCCGGGGATGATTCACTGACATTTTTCCTACCGACTTTTAATAACGTCCTATATCTGTAAAGACATACATAAATTGCACATAATTGAACACACAAAAACAAAAAAATTTTATCAAAAATTCGAGAATTTTTTTAACAAATATCGTCTAAACAACAGTGGCATTAATCTGATAAATATTAGTGGCTTTATTTAACAGCACTCATCATCATTTGTATAAAACACTATTTAACAATCGAAATGTTATCTTCTTCTATATCAAAACTAAAGTAGGCAAACAGACATTTATATAATAAATTTTAGTTTTAACATAGATGATAAATATAATTTCATTTGTAAAGCCAATAGTGTTTGGAAAAGTAACAGAATAGCAAATCTTGTTTATTTCTTAGCTTTAACTAAAAATATATATGAAGAGAAAAAGAAACAACTACATATACAATACAGAATAAAAAAAAGTCATACGGAACGTCATAGAAAACTAATCTTTTATTTTTTTTAAATAAAGATACAAATTGATCTAGCTCAAAAATTTCATACTCATTTTATCGTTTGCATCAATTTCTCTTATTGTATGACAAAATTCTTCAAACGTTATTGATTTATCACCATCGCTGTCCTAGATGTAGAAATATATTTAGAAGAGAAAAATTAAACAAATAAAAATTAATTACAAGTTCTTTAATTGTATGATCAGCTATTGTGGCAATTTGTTCATCTTAAATTACAAAATAAACACATTCATTCTTGTTGTTGCAACAAATTACAATATATTTTGCATTATTAGTTTTAAATTTAAAAGTTGGGACTTATATCTAAGACTTAACATTTGAGTTGAACTGTCCGTGAACGTATATACTGGAGATAAACGATATACAAGCAATACTATAATAACTGACATCAAGACTCAAAAAAAAACACATTGTTCATTTTTCAACAGTAAAGAAAGATTAAATTTGAATCTAACCGTGAATATTACCACCAACCTATAAGGAAAAAAAATAACAAAAGACAATTTAAATTTGAAAATAATACGTTCTACCATTTTGTCTCATCATACCATCATTTTTAAAACTTCAAGTAATTCATTTCGATCAATTTTTAAATCGTGATTTCTATCATATATCTTCATAAAAGAAACATATACTAATAAATCTATGATTATTTTAACATTTTTGATATCATCTTACTTACATCAAATAAAAATTTTAATTTATTTTCTTTTGTATTATATCCATTTGAAATTTTTACTTTACCACGACCAAATCTTGCTAATAAAACGGCAAATTGTTTGAAATTAATTTTATTACTTTCACCAAAATCGTTTATAATAACATCGATTAATCTTTCGCCTAAATGCTAAATGTCCTAACGCTTTATCTATCAAAAAATTGGGTTTATGTGTATATGTGTGTGTATCACGTTAGTTTTCTTACCTAATGGATTTATACCAACTACTGGTACACATAATAAATCTTCACGTGTCAAATAGTCAGAACTAGGTTTAGCCAATGATTTAAAACGACTGTACAATCGTCGAACTTGTTTTGATGTAAAACCTGTTCAGAGAAAAATAATTCAAAACATTTTAGTAATTGAATTTTGTTTTCAATTCCTTTTATATTCAGTTAAAATCATGTGTGCTACTCGATGAGCATATGTATTCAGATACGTAAGAAGAGTTTACCTGTATCTTGACAGATATTCTGAATATCTTCTCCTGACAACATACCACTACCATTTGAACCCATTTTTTCCGTTGTCTTTTTCTATATTGATATGGACTAGTCAACCATGGATACTACTCACGTAAAAAATAAAAAATATTACTTTAAAAGAACACAGACATACAAAATCGTGTATGAAAGAATAATTTTATCACTTAATCTACTCTTTTGCAGAAGTAAAATTCATTATTTATAAAATTGACTACTAACAAACATTTATTTTTGTTGCTTACCCACAACACGTCGAGTAACTGATAACAGTACATTATAAATGCTTTATATGGTTCACAAAACAAACTTTAAAAATTTATTACATGTTAAAATTAAAAATGATTTGATATTGTCGTTTTTTCCTACTCTTCTCCTGGTAAGAGAGTGTAAACAGTGACATATTCAGGAGATGAAGATATGAGGAAACAGACTTTGAAAGATGAGATTGTACTAAAAGGAAGGAATAAGATAATAACTGTTAACGAGCACTTTTGTTCTGAGAGAAGGTATTGAGAATTGGAAATAAAACAATCTAGTTCTATTACATTTTCAATTAACTATCACACAAGAAGGATGAATTCTCAATTAGTTTACGGACGAGTGTTAAGAAAATATTTTGTTAGATCTCAACACTTCATTAAAACATTAAGATACAGATTTTAAATAAAAGACTATTTAAAGCCCACCCCGCCATGTCAGAAATCAACTTTTTTTCTAAAGCATCGAAATTCCACTAAACACATGATCAGATAGCCTAGTTTGTCTTCTTTTAGAATCTGTATCAGAATCGCCTACATCAAAAGTTTTTCAAAAAAATCTTGAAAAAACCGGTTTCTAATATTTATTATTTTCTCCCGTTAAAATACTTTTAAAGCTTTTTTCGAATGAGCTCATCGCTTTTTTCAACGTTTTCTCTTCAAAAGCAACTCTCCACGATTTAGTCAAAAGTTGTTGGAGTTTTACGAAAAGCAGCAAATGCGTCTGGTACTTCCTTTCCTTCTATGTCCTAAATCGATTTTTCCGCTGACGGCATCCAGCACGTCCCAGAATTTTTCGTTACGGTTCGTCATAGAGAAGTAATGTTTTTTTTGATTTAGGAGATAGTTATATCTAGAGGTTGACAGAGCTCGATCTTTAATTTAGTCTTTAGATTTTTAATAAAACAGGACTTTCTGGAAAACTCCAAAGGGATTTTTTGAGTTTTTAAGAAAAAAAATCTACCAAAAATCAATAAAAGGAGAAATAAAAACTCCGGCTCTCTCAAGCTCTATGTGTATGTGTTCAGCAATGAACAACGCAAAGCTAAGCTCTCAAGCACTTATCTGGACAAAAAGTTTCGAGAAATGCCAAAAGCTTCGTTTTGACCCTATAAGTTTGGAACCCTTACACCTAGAGACTTAAAAACTTTTTTTGTAAATATTTCATGTTAGGCCTAACAATCGGTGAAATTTTCGTTAAGATCGGATGTATGGTTCCCGAAATAGATTTTTGATGTGGGGGGAGAGGCTTTATTGAATTCGTTCCAGTTACATAACCCTAACAATAACTCGAATTTACGCCTTCGAAAATCCTGGATACGTCACGAAGAATGAGAGATTGCTGATCGATCGTTGGTTTTATATGTTTTAGGAAGACTCATAGAAGAAAACCTAGAAGAATTCTAACAAATTAAACGATAAGATGGCATAATCAGATTAGAATAGTATGAAGAGGGAAAAGTAATATCAAACTTGTTTCTTTTGCTTACACATTTAGTCTGCAAAATCATTGTATGCAATAATCATTGGACAAACATTGCATATAACATTTTCAATCAATTACTTAATCCGACATATGTCTGTCAGTCTGATTATTAGATATTTACTGATTACATATGCGTATTGACGAAATTTGATTTTTAGTATTTTCATTTTGTAAAATAATATTTTTTTTCCAAGACGTATTGTGTTCAAGACCTTTAAGATCTTGATACAGAAAAATTAAAGAGATATATATTTCAAATATTCTATTTTAAATCTACTGAAAGAAAATTAAAAAGAACAAAATCTAAATTTAGCATTTGATCGATTGATAGTAAAAGAAAATCGTTCAAGTGATAAACATTTCAAGGAGAATTTTTTTTATACAGATATGTTGCTGCAACAAAAAATCACTTGTTCTAAAATAACAGAAATATGTTTTTTCTATACGCTCGAAAATCTCCATAATATAATAAATGCATAAGAAATAACTAAATTTTATAAAGAGTTTATCATATTAAATACTCGATTTTGTATTTTGTTTCGAAAAAGGTTCTTTTTGTGTGTCTCTCATATACAATTAGTCCCAGTTGAAATTGAATTTTCTGTTCCCAAATTTTAGTCTTTTCTATGTTCACATGCAGCATACTACGTTTCAGCTAGCTTTTGTCCTCTATCAAAAAGCAACCGTAAATATGTATCATTTTGCTAGTAATGGTCCTTTAATCATTAGAACGAACTGGCTTCTAGCAGAAATATCTCTATCTAGAATAAAAAGATGACAACAAGAATACTGTGATGTCAATCTAACTTTTGTTTTTGAAGAACAATCTATCAATAATAGTTCTTCTCATAATGAATGCAAATCACGAATAAAAGTTCTGAAAAACGATTGTATAGAAAATTTCTTGTAAATTAATTTTATAGTAAAACGTTTTTCGGCAAACAACGTTTATCAAGGATACTTAATTAGTTAGCGAATCACAGATTCTAACGATATTGTTTTCACATGCGATATTTTGATTATTAATCATTTCTGCTAGAAATGTTCGGCAACTTTTTTTTAAAATTTTGATGCAAAAAAGGAGAAACAACAAACAGCAAGAACAACTTGGTATAAAAAAGTATTAGTAAGGCAGCACAAAAACATTCGCACGTCTACATGTTCTTTGTGACTGACTGACTTTCATTCTATAAAAAGATAAAGATTTTGTTTGTTTGTTAGAAGAGAGTAACATTCAAATACATGTAAATGGCCTACACACACACACGCACACATGCACTCAAAAGAAAACGTTCTAATGTTGTTATTCTTCTCCTTCACCAGGTAAACGAATATCATCAATTTTTAAAATCATACGAACAAGTTGTGTTGCTAAACTAATTTGTTGTCGTTTACCGATAAGTGTTTCAATAACGTTTTGAATTTTCATATCTATAATACAATGAGAGACATATTTAAATAGACAATCACTAATAATAGAAAATTTGTTCTAACCTGCAGTTCCTCGGTTCAGACAATCGATGCCTAAATAATGATTATTTTCTGTTATCTGTTGCGATTTAACATCCGAAACAGTTTTAATTGGAGAATAACCACTATTTTCAGCTAATGCCAATGGTATAGATTCTAAAGCATCAGCAAATCCACGTATGGCATACTGTTCAATTGTTGGGATCTAGATAAAGGAAAAAAATATATGTAAAATTTTAATTTTTTACAAGATAAAATATAATTTTATATACCGTATTTGCTGCTTTTGCAACAGCAACAGCCTGAAAGAAAACAAACATCATCAATATTATGTTTTATATGATATCTTTCTTCTTCTATTTCTTACACATGAGATTTCACAGGCGCCACCTCCATAAACAATTCGATTATCACGAACCAAATTTCGAACAACACATAAAGCATCATGTAAGGCACGTTTTGCTTCTTCCACAACCTCAAGAGAGAGAGAAAGAGACAGTGAAAAGATCTTATCGAGTTTAAACAACTTTGTTATCTTACCATTTTATTTCCACCGCGCACAAATATCGTACAAGTATTTGATTTTTTGCATTCTTCAATACACAACATATGCTCTGAAGTTGTTCCAAAGCTCAATTCACGTATGATACCAGCATGACCAAGTTTATCTGCCGTCAATTCCTGAAAACGTGGTACAATACGACCACCAGTGGCTATAGCGATCAATTCTATTTCTGGTCCGCCAACCCAACGTACGGCTGGAAGTTCATGTTGAAGTAACAAATGATTAGCTTCATCATCAAAACCCCATTGACAGATAACAAGATTAGCGCCAGCATCTTTTACCTGAAGAATACAAAAAAATTTTAAAATTCAGCAAAAATATTTGTAAAAAACGCGTTACCATTTTGACCATTTCTTCAAACTTTTGTTTTTCATATTCACGTAATTTTTTATAATCCTCCACACTCGTTATATCCAATTTATGTTTTGTTTTTGGTTTTGGTGGTTCAAATGGACATGTGAGTATAGCAATTTTAGCATCTTTCACTTCCTAAAGACAAGACTTGCGTTTTATACAGATCTTTTAGGTAATAAAATACAAATTGATTTTACTTTAGGCATTTGTGGATGGGAAAACGTTTTGTCGACAACAACACCTTTGACAAGTGTTGTATCGTGTAATTGTCCTCCAACCTTTCCTTGGACTTTGATCAATTCAAAATTAACATCACGGCGTTCGATATCAGCAACACACATGATTGCATTAACAGCTATTTCAGCCATTTGACGTTGACAGCGATTAACGCTAAACAAAACAACGACACTCAGCAATGAAATAGATAGAAAAAATATCTTACTCATTCTTACATTTTAGAGCCTAACGTTGTCATTGCTGTATTCACTAATGGCTCAAGATTTTTTAAATCGAGTGGATATGACTCAGCAATTTTATCTAAATGTTCTAATGCTACCTTAGCTGCTAGTTCATAACCATCAGCAATACGTATAGGATGTATTCCTTTATCTAGTAATGCTTCAGCTTGTTCTAACAAAGCACCAGCCAAAACTAGAAGAATAAAAAGTAAAACTTCGTTATAAGAATTGTTTTTCTTTTCGAAAAAACAATGATTACTAACCAACAACACCCGTTGTTCCATCACCAATTTCATCATCTTGCGATTTTGCTAGTTGAACAAGCAATTTTCCGATTTCATTATCAACATCCATCATATTCAGTATTGTTGCACCATCATTTGTGATTGTGATATCACCATCGGGAGAAACCATACATTTGTCCATACCTAAAACAACTTAGTGTGTGAAAATCTATTTTTACCTTCTATATGAACACTTACCTCTGGGTCCCAAAGACGTTTTTAGTGTATCAGAGACAGCTCTGCTTGCCAAAATATGAGACTAAAAAAGAGATAAATTAAAATCTACGTATATTGTACGTCATAGGTATACCTTATGTGCTTCAATACCAAATAAACGTTTCTTTGTATCTTGTCCCTTTAATATTAAAACTGGGCGACCAAATTCATCAAACGCTAATGTACCTACGGACGGCATCCTTTTTCTTTCTTATTTTGCTGTAATAACTCTACAAATAAAGGAAAAAGAGAATTTGAATTTAGTAACTACTAATCTTTCTATGCAATATCTGCTCTTGACCGAACAACATATAACTTCTGGACACTTAAATAAGAAAAAATACAAATGTGAATGAATAAGACGAAAGAATATTACACGTAGAACAAAAATTAGATGTCTGATATATAAAAATCACAATTATAGAAGAAAAATATTCTCAACAAATAATTTAGATGTTAGAAAATTTTAATACAATAACAGTTATGTTACAATTAAAACGATATAATAGCAAAAAATAAACTGTAAGTTGTCTTGCTGTCATAAAGAAAAACAAACATATAATATCTCTATATTTTGCGTTACGCAGTTTTTATTCAAGGCAACTATTTTAATAAAAATTATTTGAAATCAGGAAGAATAGCTATATAATAACAAAAAGATTTAAAAGACAAGCTAAGACTAATTGAGGAGTTCTTAAAAATTAATCACACAAGCGATTTCTTGGCATTAATTGTATAATATCAGATTATGTTCAGGCTTCGTTCACGTTGTTGTACATAAAATTCTAGACATATAATGAAAACGTTTATAAAACCAGTCAACTGCGTGTTATCTCAAAGCACAGAATGTCTAATGCGAATATCCAATGCTGGACCAAGAGTAAAACATAAGATTTTCGTTGTCGTGTTGACTAGAAGTGATGAGATTTTAGTACTTGAAATAAAACTTGGCCAATTAGAATGGTATTCCACCGATCCTGGTTTCACATAAACGGTTCACGGGCAAACCCAAGCAGAGAATCGCCTCCAAATTCTTCTTGAGAAACAATGTGGAAATTTTCCACTAATAAACGCGTTTTAGATAATATTGAGGAACACTCATTTGTCCTATCTCTTTCTACAAGAGTTAAAGGAAGGCTATATGGGGATGTGTTTTACGAAAAAACTTTACGACAAAACTAAGTTTCTCGTTTAGTTTATCTGAAGTTAAGATGTGTCTTTATTTTGCAAACATTAATATTAACTTAAAAAAAGATTCATACTAGACATTATGCAGGTTAATTTTATAAGTTTTTATGACACACATACCAGATGCTAATTTAGAATCTATGTCTATTATGGAGACAGAAAAAACGAAAATTTACAAGTCATTAACACCCGTCAGTAAAAAAACTCTCTAAAAGCTCTTACCTTTTTTAGATATATATGACTAAACGTATTGGTACTACGCATTAGCGTTACAATTAACGCGAATTAACAATGTACATGTGGATTGTACTGCTCATATCTGAATTTTTATACTGTCTACATTCATTTATTTCTAAGTTCTTTTCGCGAATATTCATTCGTTGGTTCTCATCAGATACCATTATCCAATCGACTTTTAGTATCTGTGGATCTTGAAATACATACTTCTTAAATCTTTCTTTCTGATGCGAATATTCTTTCTTAGTCTAACAAAATCTATAAATATTACAATAAAAATATTGGAATTCTCTAAGGAGTTGTCACTTAGTAACTAGACATATGATTGTCCGAAATAATGGATCGTAAATCGAAGACGGTGACTCAGAATAAAGTTTCAAGCCAAGTATTTAGTGATTACTGCTCAAAACTAAGTTTTAATTGTTAAGTAAAACAAGTGATCACCGTTTTGATCAGCAGATATGTCTTGAAGCTTACGAAATGCAGATATACATGAATGGATAGCGGTAAGATCAAAGATCCGAATTTATCTGTGCATGGTTTTTAGCTGATGAGTAATAATAATAGATCGATACTGTTTAAAAAGTTGTGGCTTAAATTAGATTTTGTTCAAGCACGATAATCATCAAATCAAGATTTCTTTTATATGGGCCTGGGTACTTTAATGACAAAGTGCTGAAGGTCTTTTCAGGATGTTTCAAGTTTTCTATGATTCATAAAATCTAAATAATACGAAAAAATACTTAATATACGTGAATTCGCTCCTGCCAGTTGAAGAAAACGCGAAAAACCAAATTGAAGCACAGAATAGCAAATACATATCAATAAACAGCATCCTTGAGTGGAGTATTATACTAACAAAGAAGATGTTACCTGTGTCTACTAGATGAACTTATGCATAAAAAGATTTAAATCTAGACGAGTTATCAAATATTTAAATTTAGACGAAAGATTAAATCTAGATTTTAAACGATTAACCGCGGTTGTTTCAGCTGAAACCCCATAGCAACACAGCAGAAAAACCGTCGGTTAATCTCACAATTAACCGGAAAAATGGTCGGTACCGACAGTCCGAACCGTACGTTTTTCCGGTTAATTGTGAGGTTGACCGACGGTTTTCGTCCGGTTTCGACAACATGGGCTAGTTATATCCAATCATACTTGAAAATCTTGTGATAACAATCATTCTCTTCTTCAAGGACAACATAGGTGATCCGATCATCTCTGTGTATTATGAACTTAAGAATGAAATGTTCAGCAATGAAAACTTCATTACCAAATGTTAAATCAATTCAAAGTGGTTCAAATTCATGCACAATCATTGATGATCCAGCAACCTATTGGTCAAGCCTATTTTATACGGCTTATTTGGAAAAAAAGTTATGTGACATGTTTATA